TTTTCAAATGACTGTCTATGGAAACAGTTTACCCACCATCACTGAATATAGATACGTAAGATTATCAAGGACTATAGCAAGCATTAACCATGTATGATGTTGGGCAGTGATGATGACCAAAGAGAAGCTGCTGCTAGGTAACAGTGCCCTCTTTTGTTTATTTGTAAAGTATTTTAACATTAAACTTATCACACTCCTGTAGTCATGATTGTTTCTGTAGCACTGTAGTACTCCTCCAGTCACCGTCGTGATGTTTTGTACTGTACATTTTTGTTAACATAGCTCCAATTGTGCCTGTGCATTAGTTACCGATCACGTACCGCGTCCCTGACAAACACAACTTTCAACCAATAGCATTCAAGTTTGATTTTTAATAAAACAGGTTGAGCCTGAAACCGGACCAATGGAAGGCAACACCTTCGTCAAAATATCAGGAACCAACATCGGGCGATATTTTGAAGATATCCGCAGCGTGATGATTGGTCAGCAACCGTGTGATCTCACTGATTTGAGAGACCAGTATGTCACTGGACAAAGGTATTCCGATCAGTTTGGAATTGAGAAGAGTTACAGTTGGTAAATTACTGTTAACAGGTCCCCAACTCACTTCGAAACTCTAAATTGTCAGCGCAAAATGTCAAGATTCGTATTTCACCACGTAAGGCAATCTCTACTGCAGCCTAAGTGACAGCTGACGGCTGTCTCCCTCCCCCCGTCACAAGCAAAGATGATATAGCGCCGCGTAGCGGTGCAAGATGGGTAATTCTGCCATAAAGGTGTTATCACGATGGGCGCCATTTGAGTGTGAACGTTAATGAACGTGCGTGCCTGTTGCTGCACCTGCGCCTGTGCATTAACATGCACTGCGCAGGTGTAGTCCAACCAGAATGGCGCCCATGTGATAACAACATTTTACGTGTATTCGTGGTGAAGTTCCCCATCTTGCGCCGCTATGCGGCGCTATACGATCTTTGGTCACAAGTTGTCTCCATCCCACCTTCTTGATTCCATTGTTATTACACTCTTGGACTTTTTTTTACCAGACAGCCATTCTGGGATCACGTTGTTTGAGTCTACTTTAAGTTGTGCACACTCTGAAATGTGAAAGAGCTTGACTTTTTTGCTATAATTATAGGTATGGCCCAACTTTGAGAAATCTATTCATGTGGATGATAAAAAAAGAAGCATGACTGTTTGAAATCACCCATCCACAAATGAGGATAGAAATCTGTGATTCGCCTCTGCTACACCGGTACATCATCTTTATCCCATGCACATTAATTATTTAGAAACATTTGTGTGTGGAGTTCCTTGCTTTTGATTCCAAAAGAATGAAAAACTGACTTGTTAACATGGCCTATGCTAAACGCAGTGTCTCTGTCGTTGAATTGGTAGTGTTGGATGCAGGACTGGTGGTATGACACCTGGCTCAGCTCAGCCAATCACCATATCCGTTGCTTCTCCAGGCAGCAGCGATTTGATGAGCACAGGGGATATCACATTCACCTACACGGTAACTTATTGAATGGTTCACTCCATATTCAAATTTCAAACTGTGACTCACTCAGGCAGAATTAAAATTTGAGCATTCGCCACATATGGGATGTGGTTGAGACATCGATACACTTTGGTCAAGTTTGATCGGCAGTCGTTGTAAACCAGCGATAACATCTATGCTGGGCACCAGGCAAAATTTGACCTGTGGTGGGAAGGTAGCTCCTGATTAGACTTTGCTTTGCCTCAGTGATTATTTGACTCACCAGTTGGGATTCAAAAAATGTGGTTTCAGTTTTCCACTGACAGATGAAAATCTTGGTGCATTTTATCTGGTTGAATAGTTTACTGTGAGATGGCATTTCAGAAAAAGCATCACACTCGCTCATTGTTAAACATGGTGATCACTCTGGGCACGAAGCCAAACTGGCAAATACAAATGCCAGCTGAAGAAGGGAGCTTTGAGGCAGGGAGCCCTTGAAACATTTCCCCTTGCACTGTGCCAACGGAGCCATCCTGCCGTATGTCGGTCAACCTCCAAGTTGCCCAGTTGTTTCTGCCAAGCACATTCTTGGAGTGCACGGGATTTTCACCCAAATATGGTCAATGATCCTAGTCTGTTTGTTTTTCATTGGATATGTTGCAGACCTGATCCCAACAGCAGACAAGATCTGGCACTAGAAGCCAAAACACATGTTATAGTGAGCAAAGCATTAGCCAGTTAAAAATCTACCAGTAATGAGATAATTCAGAACAAATCAGCACTCTAGAAACTCTCAGAAACTATCAAACATGAAAAATACACACCTATCAGGAAAGCATTGTAGCACATTGATCGGTATGGGCAATTTCAATACAGTGATTACAGTGAGTGCTTACATTCCAAGCAATTGCTGTGGCTTATGTTCCACACTGAACTTAAGCTACATGTGGCTATCTTGTCCTGAATCCAACAGAACCCCATGATCACCCAAATCACTCCGCACCAGGGCCCTGCTGATGGTGGCACCGTGGTAACCATCAGTGGAACCAACCTGAACACGGGCAGGGACATCCGAGCCTCAGTGGCCTCCAACGTGCCTTGTCTGATTGACCGCGAGAGGTAAAGGCTGAAGCTTTTGCTACCCTCCTTCAACTGCCAAGAGGCCAAGAAATTGAAAAAAATTGCAGCTCAGGTGCCATTTTTCCTGTGCCAACGTGTCAGAGTTTACAAGCCACTTGTGACTCTTCACATGATTGAAATGGGTTCGGGATTTCCACAGTCCTCTCTCTAGTTAGGCGTATACATGCCTATAGGTGCCTGGGAGGGTAGAGGTCATGTTACACTGAACTCAGGCTGTGGCAGAAGCTGATCTCAATGCCCTCTGTGTAGGGGTAATAACTTTGAAGTGCTTTTAAACTTCGATATTAAAGTGCCATAGAAGCACAGGTGACTATTATTACGCTTCTTCAGCAATTAAGAGTTGGTACAGTACAGTCCACGTGTATTGACCAGTTCTGTCTTGAGATGAAGGTCTCCTGGTGAAAGCTGTTAGGTTCATCATACACCTGTACCGACATCATACATCACCTGTAACGACTAGTATTGTATTTTGATGCATTGTATTATCTCCTGCTTGTCAGTGTTTGTCCGTATGTGTATCATTGCCAAAAACATGTTCATGTCTTGTATTGTCCTATGTTATAATATGTATGTCTGTCAATAGGTTGGGTACAAGAGCAAATCTATGCTTCACCCTTTACCTAAATGTTGTTCTTTAACGTGTTAATAAAGGTTGCGATGGTAACGTTCTTGTGCAGATGAGTTTTATCGTACAGTGTTTGTAAACGTACATGCGTCACATGTGAAGTTAAAAAGTGATGTTTGACAGCAAGGTGTCACTTGTTGCAAAATGTAAAATATTTGTAGCTATGTGAATATTCTTTTCATTGCTGCAGGTGGTAATGATTGCTTTAGGCTCTTAACATGAAACATGAAGGTTCTTGACTAAACGAAGAATGACCGCTTTCCCAGTTCCGTTGAAACCTGTTGAAGCATACCCCCATTCAAATTTTAATTGAATGCTGCTTTTGCTATCTCCTTTTACTCAGAGGCAGTGACTCGAGGATGGAGTGTCGCACCACAAACTCCTCCGTGAATGATATGGGCCCGTTGTCTTTGATGTTTGACGGGGCTTTAAGAAGGTCCCAGACCAATTTTACCTACAATCCCAACCCTAACGTCACCGACATCAACCCACGAAAGAGTGTCGTGTCGTAAGTATATCGTCGTACACAGAAGATTTTATGCTAGGCAGATGTTGCTACTCTTTTACCAGTCCGTCAACGCACAGCGCACTAGTTCTTTTTGTTTTTCCTTGGATTTTCTCCCCCAATGCCACAGATTTTGTACATAATTATTTCTCAGTGGCGTTTCGGCCAGTTTTAAATCTCCATCTTAATCAAACTTAATCGAGTAAAGACACAAGGCATAAGGACATCATGATGACGTTATTAAAAAAAGCAATCTTTTGTTTTGCATATTTGAGATTATCCGATCATCTGGAAATTCGGTTGGGAAGACGTGTGCTGTATAGCAAATGTGAAATGATATCATAATGACATCACTTGATTTTTTGAAATGCATTTTATCATTTATTTTTTGGATTATTTTCTTTGATAAGTTTCAGCTTTACTCCAAGTCAGATTATACATTACAGATAAAAAGACCTTCTTGATTAAAGTATCTTTTATGATGATGACATCAAATGATTTAATATGGATCTTTTATTCTTTAACTGATTTTTACATACTCTTCCTAGATGTACTTTGAGTGGATAACTTGTTTGTTATATGTCATCGCATGCCAATCACCAGTCCAGTGACAAGTAAAGGGACTGCAATTGCCTCGGACTCGGACATATTAAGAAGTGGGTGGGGGGAGCAAACTTATTTCCAAGGGCCGAAAAAATCGAACATTTTTTCATCTGACCTTTTATGACTTTTTTGAGAGGTGAGGCTACATCTTGGGGCTTCTTACATGCTTTTTTAAGGGAAAAAACTGAACTAGACCAAAAACTTTGCCTTTCATTTGCTTTGCTAAAAACAAATGGGTCTGTGTTGGTGAGGGCCATGGCCCCCATTTCACCCTCCTTGACTTGACTTGGGAGCAGGTTGCTTGTGATGGATTGGTGATGACCTCTGGTAAATTCTGATGATTGAATTTGGAGTTCGGCCTGCTTAATTTTGTTGGCAGGGGCGGTCGAACAATGAATGTGACCGGCCGGAACTTTTTGCAAATCCAATCGCCGCTGATTATTGCCACATTGGAAATGGATGCCGATACTAACCAGACATTTAATGAGGTAAGGCATGAATCGCATTCACTCACCTTCAGCAGTTACTTTGAAATACCAAACTTAAATTGACAAATATCCAAGCTCTGGGTTTATGTGTGTCATTGGGTTTTTTCTTGGGTTTAATTACACAAGCCTTCACAAAATTTCAATGACCTGTCTAAAAAACACAAAAGGGAACCTTTTGATAAATCACTCACTCATAAGAGTTGACATAAAAACATTATTCTTTCCTTTAATTTCCTCGTACATACATTTGTTGTAATTGATATACAGTCTGCCCTGTAATCTATTCCTGTAACATTGCAAGACCGTTTTCTACAACAAGCCTCAGCTTCTTAAAAATGTCCCTTATTCTTTTAATCTCCTTTTCTTCATGCAAGGACATCTTTTCATTGTTTCTGTTGTGTATGTTTCATGGAGATCTCTCTCTCTAGATATGTGTATCATAGGCGTCAATCAGTTTCCATGTTTCCAAGTGGGAGGATACTTTATCAAGGTATACCTTTACCTTGCAAAAGCATTTGTTTAAAAACTTGCTAAAGTAGCCAGAAATCAGATCACACCACAGTGCATCTATACCCCAAAGTTTTCCGGGGCCCTTGAGCAGGCCCGGACCCCATGTCGCTCAGGACTTTGTGCTCACATTTGTTCTAATGAGGGCTATGTCCCCCTCCCCACACTTTTCATAATGGATTGACGCTCTTGATATTGTGTACAGTGAGAGAGAGCATAATTTGAAAGTACAGAAATTAAATATCTACCACAAAAGCAGCAAACTCACACACCATGAAACAGTACTCTGAGGAACGGTCTCAAGCCCCTTGCACCAAGTGCATGTCGTAAATCGTCCCAAATTTCATTTCTTTGACTGTTGTTTGATTCTATCTCTGTTAGTCCTGCGAAATTACAGATGACACCCTCATGATGTGTAGGACCCCAGACATAAGCTCAGTCACCAGAGACGGGGTCAACGTTGGTCAGAGGAGGAGGAGACAGACGGAGACCAACTTGATCATCGGTTTCATCATGGCCGACGTCACCGGCCTGCAGAGGTGGTCGGAGAACCTCGCGCCGCCAGGTTTTGCATTCGAGTTTGTGAGGAACCCGGTCTTTGAGCGCTTCGAAGGAGATGGTAACATCCTCAATCTGGAGGGCTTCAAGCTGACCATTAGGGTGAGGCTTTAAAGCCCTCGAGTCTTTTATGTGGCTTCCAATGTAACATTGCCAGGTCAGCGTGGAGATGCTTTCCCCACCTTGCTCCCCTGCGACCCAGGTTGGAATTCTGCCTTGGCCAACATATGGATTAGGTTTTCGGTCTCCACCTGATTCCATGATTTTCTTTGGAATATCTGATAAGGTTTGTCTCCCACCTTCTAAACTGAGTTGTGTTGCCATCTCTATTCAGGTGTCTTCTGGCTTGGGAGCTACTTTTGGGAAACCGTTTCTTTTATTACACGAAACAAATGCCATTACCTCTAAACAGTTTGCCCCTGCCTGGTGGTTAATAGCCTATCATCACTTGGTTGGTTTTTAAAAGATGATAAAATACCAAGTCGTTATAAATACTTTCTCAGTTTCATATGATGTTTTCACTCCCATGTCAGACCCGCTCCATTAAAAAATGGACGTGTGTCCTGTATATGCATGGGTTGGCGTCTGGATTTTTTCTGCAGATAATTAACCATTGCCTTTAACAATTCCCTTTTATGTTACTGGTTGGCACGGTAACTCTCCACATCCAGGGGGAAGACTTCAGCAGTGCACAAGATATAAATGAGGTCAAAGTGTTTGTCGGCAAAGAAATGTGTCCCATTGAAGTCTTTGACAACTCCATTTTGACGTGCGATGCCCCCACGTTACAGCCTGAGCCTTTAGACTATTCAAGCAACCTAACAAACACCTCCTTGCCTGCAGTCTACGTGAGTAGCGCAACCTATCAAGCCATTAACCTTATTCCCCATTTTGATAAGGGTGCAACTTCAAACATTGCATGCCGTCCTCAACCCTCCAATGCTCTCTGTTATTTTTTTTCCCTCAGAGGGGCGACCACTCCCTCATTTCTTCAAAACTTGGCCATTCCTATCACTTTGTTGGGGGGGGGTGCAGAGGGCATTCAAGAGTAGTATTCGTGATTCCAAGTGTAAGCAGGATCCTAAATGTATATTCCTACTTGTCTGACACAGAAACAATTCCAGCCGAAAACTTTGACATATTGCGTCCTTCAAAATGAGCCACACATATTTTGCCTTAGAGCCTCTATCTGTCACAGTACTCCACTTATGCAAGGGTAATTTTAGAGGATTTGTGAAGTTTACGAATGGTTCAGTAATTAACAACTTTCAGTGCCATATTGTTGATCTCTGTTTTTATTTGACTTCAGCACACATTTTCTCATACCGTACATGCGAGTACCTGCCAGAATACTATTAAGGAAGGCAGAAACTGGACAGCAAGATGAAATCATTCTAAGCTGTTGCAGTGTCCCCTGCAGATTTCACACTGTTCTTTGCAAAATAAAAGAAACCTACCAAAAGTGTCCCCAGTGAAAGATTTCATTGCATTGCAGGTGCTGCACAGCAGCCGTTACCACTTCATTGGTTACGTCAGGTACCTCAGGAGCATCGAGATTGGGCTGATCATCGGCATCGCTGCCGGTGTTCTGCTAATGTTGGTGCTCCTGTTTTCCTTTGGCCTCTGGCGCAAACTCCAAGGCTCCCAGAAGCAGATCGGGGCCATCCTGGTCCAGATGGACGAATTGGAAAGAGGGATGGCGGAGGATCTCAGAATCGGTAAGGGTTTTGTGTCAAGTACACTAGTCACGGTCTTTCTTGTAACACCTGGGTTTCATCTCGGTGTGTAGCATCAGGCTTCAGCCTCCTGAAATTCACTCCTTCAAAGTTTAGATATCTTCCATCTAAGTGCAGTGACAATTTTAGCAGTATCAAATTGTCTCGTATGAGGCTAAAGTTTTTCTTATGGTTCCGAGCTGGAACGGATTATTGAGTTTTAGACTCAGAAACAGGCCCGTCGCTAATGGGGGAGGCCTCAAGGGGTTGAGTCCCCCTGGTGAGCAGTTGACCTCCCCCATCGGCAGAAGCCATAAGCATAATAAGTAGTGTTGTTTTTGTGATGTTCCCCCGAGCTGGTACTGTGGCCCCACCCCCTAAGCCCGAAGTTGGTGACGGGCTGCTCAGAATTCAAAGATTTAGAGAGAGTCAAGATGTATGACTTAAAAGTCTGAGATGCAGCTCAGTCACGGGTCTGGTCGTGTGGTGGTCTAGACCAAAGATCGTATAGCGTCGCGTAGCGGCACAAGATGGGGAACTTCACCATGAATACGCGTAAAACGTTGTTATCACATAGGCCCCATTCTGGTTGGACTACGCCTGCGCAGTGCATGTTAATGCACAGGCGCAGGCGCCACAACAGGCACACACGCACATTAACGTTCACACTCGAATAGCGCCCATGGTGATAATACCTTTTTGGCCGAATTACCCATCTTGCGGCGCTATATAATCTTTGGTCTAGACTACAACCTTGGAACCCACTGCATTAATCCTCTGTGATTTTTGTTTTCGTCCTGTTTCGATTTTTCTTCTTCGTTGCTCCGTCTCCCCTACAGCTTTTGCAGAGCTGCAGACCAACGTGACAGATCTGACCCACGACCTTGCCGGCACTGGCATGCCGTTTGTCAGTCACAGGCAGTATGCCACCAATATGCTGTTCATTGGCCTGGATGTACAACCGGAGACCTCTGACCCAAGGGTAGAGTGGGGCATATTCGGGGATTGTTGCCAAATCGAAAATGTCCATATATTGCAACCCTCTCTCCCAAATGCATTGAAGCAGCCTAATTTTATGTGGTACTACAGTTGGTCTTATATTTCTATGGATTTTTTTGGGGCCTCTTTTAAAAATTTCTGTTCCTCATTTTATGTAGTTTTTATGAAGGTGTTATTCTAGAGATGACATGTTTTCTATGGTGCCATCATTTTTGTCAATCCACATGTGTGAGATGTTATTGAATAGACCAATTGTGCCCACTAAGTCACGTGACCTATAGTGGGTATTAAATGTCAACAAACACGGCATCCACCATTAGCAAAATGTTTCATAAGTATCATTTACCAAAAATAAAGCCAATGGTGGGTACAGTCCTCAGACTACTGATGTGCTGGGTACTATACCTTAACTTGGCTGTATTGTTTGTAAACAACACTCAAAACACATGTTGCTATGGGGTTGATACCCACTATAGGTCACGTGATTTATTGGACATAATCGGTCTGTTGCCATGTTGAATTGCAATATTTGAATGACCAACCAATTCCCTTTTGGTTTGCCTCTCTAGAAGCCAGAGGAGCACACAGAGAGGGCCATGGCTCAGTTCAACCGACTCCTCACCAACAAGAGCTTCCTCTTGACATTCATCCAAGCCATGGACGACGAGAAGAAGATTGCCATGAAAGACAAGTGAGCCTATCCGCTTTGAGCGGAACAGAAGCGGGCTTTTTTTTTTTACTCACTGCATGAGGCGCGCAAATATATGCACATTTGACGCAGAGCACGACGAGTACTCTTAACTAATTTATTCTGGCATGTATGGTCTTTGCGTACACACAGAATGCGTGCAAGAACCCGCTTGTAACCACCTGTCTTTCTCTCACTGATTGGGGGTACGCTTCAGCTCGGGGTGATAGGTCTAAGTCAGCTGAGGGGATTAGATACATTCTGTTAAGGCTGTCACGAGTTGGACTGTTCCTCTTGGAAATTGAATGCTCCTTACAGGAACACCCCGGGCTGTTCCTTACTGTAATAGGTGCTTCCAAGTTGTGCACATGTATTGAGCACTGTTGCCCTCAGTTTTTCTCAGTCGGAATGACAGTTTTGTCCAAATGGAGTATTGTCGGTCGAATGCTCTGTAGCGCTTTTGCTGGTGAGGTGCGCCCTACGAAATACCTGGAACTTGAATGAACAGAGAGATCTCAAGGTGTTGTCAGTGTGTAACAGATTTTGGGTACAAAGAGACCAAGGATGGATACAGTGACAAATTATAAGGGGCAGTTTTTGGGGAGGGGGGGGCATGGAATGTGGACAATTTCTCAAGTATCCTTTGATTGCCTTTCTAAGTGGTAAGGCTACATTTTGAGACTTTTTACATGCTCTGTGAAAGAAAAAAAAATGAAATAGACCAACAAATTCACCTCTCATTGGTTTCAAAAACATGTTCAGATTCCTTTTTTGGAGCGGTGCTATGACCCTTCTCCCCCAATCTTGCCTCGACAAAGACCCCATTCATTGAGATCGGTCATTTCCAGATGGACAGTAAGTCTTGACAACTCTTGTCAGTCCAGTCACTTCTCATTTTCATGAAGTTTGTTTCCATTTTTGTATCACTTCTTGCAGGTCCACAGTAGCCTCATTGCTAACCATCATAATGATGCTGGAGAACAAACTTGGATATCTCACCGAGTAAATCACGTTTATTTTTTCCCTTCAAATTCCGAAAAAGTAGACCAATGATCACTTTTTATGTAATTGCTATCTCTGTACTCATGTTGCTCTGTATCATGGCAAAAAAAAAATAAAAAAATAGGCTTTTGTGTGAAAAATGGCTAAAATAAGATCTTGGAATACGAATGAACCGGAGGATGAAGTGTATGTTGGCTGTTACTTGGACCTGTGATCGTCTCCTGATATGTAGGATAAGAGGGTAAAACTCAATCGCTGGGGAACCAAATTTACCTTAGGTTTAAGCAGTGGCACAGTAGGGGAAGGGGGCAGGGGGTAAGTTGGGAGAAAATGTTACCAATTGTGTTATTGGGGTTTTTTTTGTTTTGTTTTTGAGCGTGTATTTTTTAGGAATTGAAACTGCTAACATTTCATAAAGGCAACTACCACCAATTTTTTGGAAGATGAGGGTTCTTTTACAGATTAAAAAAAACGTGATAATGAATTTTTAGAAAAAGCGCCTATTTTGCCCCCCTCTCATTCAAAACCTGGAGACGCAACTGGGTTTAGAACATTGACTCCACATTTGTAAATATCATATACTGTCATTTGCTAAAGTTTAAGACCACCTTGAATTTTATTGGTATTTCTGTTACTGGGCCTGCATTACACTGTCTCACTGAATGATTCCTTAGCATGATTTTACAGTGGTGCATAACATCAGTGTAGTGCTATATACCCATTTGAATGAAATTTTTTGCAAAGGCAGGTCTTTTATGACATTTTGTCCGCAAGGCAGCATGGGTTTAAAGAAGCCAGTCTAAGTAATCAGAAATAAGGGGGGGCACACTGAATATTAGACTGTTAACATGTCAAATCATGGAAATGTAGTCAAAAATGTTCAACCAAGGTTACACATTGAAAATAAACACAAGTTGCCATGACTGATTGGTTTAAGTTTGGTTTTCCTTCAGGTTAATGCACTTTCTAGGGTGGTCCTAAACTTTCGCAAAGGACTGTAAATGTTCGTAAACACAAAAAAATGCAATGGATAACCGATATTCTCTACGAGATGAAAGTGAAAGAGACTTCAGCGATAGACTTGTAAAACAAACATATTAAGTTTATTGTCTAGTAAAACATCCTGCTTGTTGCGGTTTCCTGATTTGGGCAGTGCGCTAGACACAATACCAGACTTCCTTCTTTGATTTCCGGTCAGCCATACATGTATGACTCTTACTGTTGACAATGATTTTTAGCTTGTTTTTTTTTTTTAGCATGATATCAGGATCTTTTCCACATGATCTCTGTAATAGATTTCCTGTCCTTTTATAGTGAACACGCTATAGTATTATGTGTTCTGTAATTAATCGCCATAGTTATGCTGAATAAATTGGGTTTCCTGCATCTCATGTGTAGATATTCAAAACCTTTAAGAATTGAGTGTCACACCCATATTCAGGTACTGTTTCCCGCTAGGATTCCATCCACAGTACACAGATTTTTCCATTCATATTGTAAGCGTGGAATACAGCTATTTCTGACAGTCAACAAACTTTGCTCATGTGTGATATTATTTTGCTCTTAAATAGGGAAATTGTAACATGCTCTCCCTGCATACGAGAGACTGAAGTGTCTGATCGGGCTTCATCCCTCCTTAATCTCAAAATTCTTTAATATAGCCATAATATACCAGTAATTACGTGGGACAAGTCTGAAATAACTTAGTATTATTACACCTTTAAAACAGGAAAAAAAGCAAAACACCAAATTATTACAGTGACCTGACCTCAACAGAAAATATATCTGTTCGATGCAAAAACTACATCTTGAAAAAGTGATGTTGGCAAGCTCCATGGTTGAGCAGTTGTAGTCTTATATGAATCCCACTTAATTAAGCTGATGAATTTTATTCACAAGCCTTTGGACTGCTTGGTTTGCATTATCACCAATTATAGGTTGCATAAATATTAATCAGATGTAAAAAATAATTGCATAATAATTTTCAAAACTAATTCAATTTATTTAACATTCAGTTTAATATTTGATATAAAAAGGAACTATCAATCGAGTGGAAACAAAAAGGAACAAATTTTGAGGCCTGTACACCTCATGATTCACTCTCTCGCTCTTTTTCTGGCAGCGTCATGATAACTTTGATGTCTCGTCAGGTACAGGAAGCTGTGGACAGCAATAGGCCGAAGCAGCTCTTCAGACGGTGATTACAAATTTTTGTATCTTCCAATTTTTTCTCTGGTGGGGGATTGCAGTTTTAATTCGTTATACATTTGATTTCAAACTTGGCCAGAGGAATTAATTGTCAGCATGAAAAAGTGCCGTGCATGTAGGAATGCGCAGGGAGTTGCATGTACGTTACTGGGATGAGCTGGCATTGTTGCTGTCAAGTCCATCTTGAGTAATCTAATCTCAAGACAAGTTCACGGGCTGCGATTCTTCTGTCATTGGTCTCCCAACTACTTATGAGCGCTGTTACGAAATGACTTGTGACTGGACCTGCAAAGGGGTTAAAAGGACTTTTGATGGACTTGGCTCCAAGACTGCGAGCTGGGTTGGTCAGGGGATAAATTCACTTTTGTTGAAAACGGAATGGTCTAATGTGAATGTTCCTTCCTGGTATTTTAACTTAATATGAATCTTCCCCCTGCAGAACCGAGACCATAGTTGAGAAGCTCCTGTCCAACTGGATTGCTTTGTGCCTGTATGATCAGTTGAAGGTAACTTTCATGTGCAAGAGGTCAAAGGACCATTCCTTATCACAGTTCTCTGAAGAAAAAAAATGTCTTTTTGGCTTGTTTTGTACAGGGGGGGTAGTCAATACTCATGCAAGATGTCAAAGGTCTTTATTGGGCACAATTTGATTCAAATCTGGTCAGTTCCTTTCCTTGTGAAATGCAAAGCATGGGCTTGCCGCTTCTCAATTGTTCATTGATGTCCTGCTGAAATGACCTGCGGTCATCTATCAGTGTGGTAGAGTCAAGATCTCTACATGCTGACTGGAATTCACTTGGTGCCCCAGGCCTTGAAGTGAACGACCCCAACAACCGGCCAGTGCTGTCGTTGCCCTTCTCACTGGCAGAGGTGCCCCACAAAACTCCGTCCTCACAGCCAGTTTTGCCTTGCTCATTTGCCTTGGCCGTCGTGCCCTTTTTCCATAAACATCCACAAGCCTATTAAAATCCTTGTTTTCAGATGTTTTTAAACCCACTGAAAGTGTATTTCGATGTCATGCCACCCCAATCGGCTGTCTTATCTCGCAGAGTCAACGCACAGATGTTGCAACACGTAACCGGCTTTGGTGTCGATCCCATGTGTGTACCGAGTGTTCATCGTATACACGTGCATCCGCACGAAACATGCAGTGTACATGTACTGTATACTTCTGTACATATAAGCATGGGACCAAAATTATTATTATTATTAATTTTGACCATGTCAAGGGCAGTGAACAGAACCTCAAGGTCCTTCTTAAATCACTCCCGGATAAAATGATTAACGATTATAGATAAAATAAGAATAAATTGACATGCACAGCAACTTGATTACTGAATCAAAAGTCGCACACAAAAGTGCTCTCCACCAAGCAAAAATGACCCATGAATGGACAAAATTTTAAACTATCAGTGACAAAAGTGAACACCAGTTTTGTCAAAATGATGTGCATGAATGGTTTGTGTATAGGGATGCCATCCTTGTGTATGCACTACACATTATTACCATGCATACACATTACTGAAAAGTAATGATTGTGACTTCTTTATTTCGTCCTGTGACATTGATTTCTGCGTAAAACTTAAGGCTCACTCTGTTACATTCTGTGACTTTTGATTCACTTTTAAACCAAGTTGCTGTGCATGTCAATTTCTTTTTTGTTATAAAGATAATCACTTGCTTTTGGGCATGTGATTAGTAAGGGGTATTGCAGCATACCTGTGTACAAAAATTGTTTATTTCTGTGTAGTGAATTTTTATGTGTGGTCTTTGACAGAAGTGGCAAGTTTCTTTTGCTGTCCAGTGTACTTGAAAAGCTAGAAAATTCCGAACATGTGCAGTGTGTCATGCTGCATCAAAAAACAGATGGCAATCATATTTGCAAACTCCAAAAAAGTGGGACTTTGAGGCCTCACTTGTAACGTGCACAGCGACGGACATGTGGAGTGTGTCGAGATTGTTAGCGGTCACGATGCACGAATAACTTGGTGCATTTGGCCTCGTGTCTTATCTGCAGGATCACACGGCTTTCCCACTGTTCTTGCTGTACAGCAGCATCAAGGTGCAGACAGAGAAGGGACCCGTGGATGCAGTCACCAAGCAGGCCCACTTCTCCCTCAGCGAGGAGCGGCTGCTCAAAGCGAACGTGGAGTTTCAGGAAATGGTACGTTTGTGGCAGAATTAACGCAAGGGGTATGTTGGTGGTTGTGAGTTAGTGGTTATCAGCATGGGGGGATGCGCTTTCTTTCGGGAAGGCAACATGACCTTGATTTCCTCATTGTTGGTTTATCATGTACACATAAATCACTTATGCCATTGCAAATTTCTCTACATTATAGAAAGTCTGCTGCAGTTTGGAATTTCCTCTCGTTTTTCCCTTGACTTGCCAGTTGCATGCTGTATAATTTGCATGTTTTCTGTTCAGACCCTTAATGTGGTTGTGGATACGGAGGATGGCGAGAAGAAAATGGTCAAAGTCCTGAACGTTGACGCTGTCCCTCAGGTCAAGGAGAAAATACTGGACTCCATGTACCGCAACAAGCCTTACTCTGATCGTCAGAGAGCTGCAGAGGTCAATCTGGGTAAGTCTATGATCTCAATTTAGTCTGACAGTCAAAGAGCTGCGGTGGTCATTCTGGGTAAGTCTGTGGTCTGAGGCTCTCTTGTGCTGTAAAAAATCTTACTCTGGCATTCAAAGAGCTGCAGTGGTCATTCTGGGTATTAAAGTCTGTGATCAGCGATTTGTTTTTACCCTAACAAAACTTAGTCTGACCGTCAAAGAGTGGCACAGGTCAGTCTGGGTTTAAATTCTGTGACAAGATTCACTTTCAGTTCACAAAATCCAGCCAAGAAGGAATGCTTTCCAAGATAAGATGCAGAGGGGGGCATCCTTCCAGATTTGACATCTCGGAAAGGTATCGTTCCAAGATACTCTGTCATCTTTCAGTGATTAGAGATCATTGAGAGATGTCCTTGTTCCATCTTTCCGGGACACCGTATCGGTGAAATGCAGAAACAACGATGATCACTTCGATCACATGTGCATAGTTTAATACCAAGTCAGGATGTTCATGATTTTCCTTCTCCCTTTTCCCTGGGATCCTTCAGAATGGAGGCAGGGGAGATCAGGCCGCTTGGTTCTGCAGGACATGGCCCTGCCGCAGATAAGCAATGCTGACAGGTGGCAGAAACTGAATACCCTGACAGAGCTAGGCGTGAGTAGTGTCATTGCTGATTGTTCTAAAAATGTATGAAAGATGTAGTTCAATGATGGAGGACATTTTTCTGCATATGTATTATAATGTATAGTATATCTACATATGTGACCCAGTGGGTGAAAACGAGTCTTAAGTCGCCAGAGCCACTTTGAGTAAAAGTCCTTTAGAATAATTGTGCACAGTGTAAATCAATAGGAACCCACAGCATTTTTCACCATGGAGTATCCACATTCATCAGGAGGCCAAACTGAGGCCTATCAGGAGGTCAAAACAAAACCTCAAATTACTCTTTCCCATACAAATGAAAACTCAAAAAGTGGCTCTGGCGACTTAAGACCCCTTTTCACGGAGTGGGTCACATAATCACAGAGAGAACGTTGCCTTTATTTTAAACTGTGTATTTAAAATTGTGTTGAAGGTACAATAAACGTCAGCAAATTCCCTTGGCATTGCGTCCTTTGACTTAAAGGATGGTTATCTTCCTGTACAGTTTCAACTTTGTGTGGATTAAAAAGTTACACCGTGGCCTTTTTATCGACTTCTGTCAAAACTTTAGTCTCAACTGTAGAACTGCACTGAACTCAATACATATTCATGTTCTTGTGTAAATGAACATGATTGTGTAATATAGAAGGCATATCATGAAGTTTGTGTGGGAAATGTGAAGAAATTGTGTAGGAGCTATTCTGTGGAGTATGGCAGCAGGCATGCCGTGACTTTGGTCATGTGTGGACAGTTTTTATCTACCGCAAAGTTTTTAGTGTCACTGACCGCAGCCGTAGCTGGACCGAGACATCGGCGTGGACTCCATACATTGTATGGGGCTGGCCCATATTGCCATGCCAGCTGTATCCCATAACGGATGCCTTCGTGGTTACAGCTTGAACCGCGCCATGCTGAGCAATTTAAAATACCCCACCTGAACTACCCCCATATCGTGTGACAATTTTGGCCAATTCGCATTCTGCCTTCAACAACGATTTTAGACCGATGATGACTTTTTTGATAATCCAGCCTGGGAAATGAGGTTCTAAAGGTCATTTTGAAAATTGGTCGGAAGGCAAGAACCATGTTTATTTTGGTTCAGTGTGCTTTCAGTTATACATGAAAGCCTAATTTGACACAAATATCCTCCACTGTTGAACCATATCTTTAATCGACATCTCAGGGTCTGTTAAAAGAAAAATACAGAGTACATGTGTATGTGCTTCTTGACACAATGATATTTGCTTCAGGGCTGTGCATTAGAACGGAGTACCCCAAAAAATGGAAACCTTCAGTCTTTAGAATGGACAATACAGCCAATAAACTTTGTTCATAAATGAGCCATATTGAATTGAAAGTGTGTCTAACGTTTCATTTTAGGAACCTCAGAGTAACAATGAAATAAAAGTTCAGTACAAACTGATGTAAGTTTACGCTGTTGAATAGTTTTAAATTTGTGATTGTTTCTAAATGTTCCAAGCTACAGGAATTAAAAAGACGCTTGGAACCTCAAAGAATCTGATGCCACCCCATTTAACAGATTATACTGAATAACATGTATTCAGGGAACCAGTTAAAAAATGGCTTCGTAGTAAATAGAGTCTATTCCATGGACTTCATGTAGGGCCTGTTTGTTTCACACGATCACGATCAGTGATCCCAAAGCTGGTTCCCGCTATCCATTAGGCCAGTTCTGGTGTCAAAGAACCAATATCTTATCACTGATCACGATCCGGATCCACCTGAAACAAACCGGCCCATAAAAAAAAAAATGGACCGGTGATGTCCTTAAGCAGTGCACAAAGGTCATTGAAGCCACCGGTGGACATCTTACTGTGTCAAATATAAAGGTAAAACAAAGGCTTGCTGGCCATTATTAATCAAATTCATTTGAGACATCAGTAGTTACAGTAGCAAGCAAGCCAACCATCCTCTATGTATTAGGCACGATAAATAGCTGCCGGTGGCATCAGTTGGTACAAAGACATTGGGAGTCTATTTGTTATGACATCTCTGGTCTGTTTACACAGCTCCTAAGCACCTAAGTTTGCTGAAGGCTTCCATTACTCAGTAGTGAGGGGTCTCAAAGGAGGTCTCTGATCTTAACTTGCTGGAACATTTTCTATGAGCAATGTTTCCTTGGAGCAACTACCATAGATTTTATGCCCAGATGGTACTTTTTTCTCCTTGGCAGGTTCCAGATAATTCTCTCATGGCACTGGTTCCCAAGCAGTTGGCCCGCACTTCAATCAACGAAGCAACATCAGGTGGGTGGAGATTATTTTGATAGAAAGTCAAAAAGAAAGCTTCCTTTTTTCCTACCACCAGTACATTTCTCGTAATCAATTTCCAAGTGACTGTTACCTAATGCAAATTTTCCGACGTAGTCTCAGGTTTGAAGAGAAATTTTAAGTAAAAAGGGTTCCATCTGTAATCCGGGATAATTCAAATTCCATTACTTGGCTACAACACCAGGGGTAAACTTGGTGTCAGAAGTGGGACACTTTTAATAAAACTACAATGTTTAGTCAATTACAGGAGCTTTGTTTTTGTACGGTTACATCTGTAGTCTGTCAGAGCCACTGACCACCAGCTAGATTCATCATAGGTTTTTAAGATGGGGGAACTCATGCTAGCACTGCCATTCTTAGGTGGTATATACATACACATTGTTTATATTTTTTCAGGAGTGTCATCAAATGATGCCAATCTGTACCAACATGATGTGGGCGTGGAAGATGGTACTGTCCTCTGGCATTTGGTAAGAAGCATTTATGCTCAAGGATATTCATAACAGCAAACTCACACCACAAATATTTAATCAACCTCACAATTTTGATTTTTTTTGCAGTGAACATAAATTAACTAGCCTTAAGACAAAGAGCTTTTGTGAGAATAGTTTTGTTTTTCTGCTGGCTGCACTGCTTTCAGTTATTCCAGTAACCAGAAAAAGAATATTATTCTTACAATTGTAAAAAGCAGTTGTCAGTAAGCTACTGGTGCAAGTGGCCCAGTGTTGGAGGTTTGTGACTCCTGACCAGAGGATTAGGGGTTCAAATCCGTCTGCTGGTGGTATGTTGTGTCCTTGGGCAGGTCAGTTTGCCCCTGCCTGCTTGGTGCTCTCCACCAAATAAATATAAATTGTAAGTATAAATTGGGTACTGGCATCCCATCCGGGGAGAACAGAAATATTCTCCAGCATTTCATGCCTAGGAAGTCAGAGGTAAACACAGGCCCAATGAAGATCAGAACAGACTTGCCTTTGCTCATTTGAGTGTGCTGTCCACCAAAAAGTATAAATTGGGTACTGGGATCCCATGTGGGGAGAACAGAAATATTCTCAAGCATTTCATGCCTAGGAAGTTGAATTTAAACACAGGCCCAATGAAGATCAGAACAGACTTGCCTTTGCTTAGTTGAGCATGGGGAGTGAACTCTAAAATGAACACTGTACCCTTGCTGCTGTGTTTTGTAGGAGAAACCGCATGAGGAGATTGAGGAAACGGAGAGGCAGAAGAAGAAGAGGCAACACGAGGCCCTGGGCAAGGGCAAGATGTCACAGAACATTACGTTCCCTCGACTCCTGACCATGAAGGTACGGTGCTTTCGAGATTCAGCATCAGGTTGAACCTATCTGTGCCCACAGTCCACCCTCCTAAGCTGTTATTGTCTAGTCATGAGTCCCAACAAATGTAGACCTGCTCGGACAGTTTTGGATGGTACATGGAGTATAGAGGCACGACAGTTTTGAGCAGTGCAGGGTATAACAGGGTTGGCAGTATGGGGTCACAGAGCTTTGAAAGGATTCATTTACAAACCCTCTTGGCATTTTCCTCAGAAATCATAGGAGGAAATACGAAGTTACTGAATATTTATATATTGTCTCGGTTGGAATTTTTCCGCAATCTTTTGTACGTGTTTCTGGCATAGCAAATTTTGCAAAATCTTTAAAGTTGGTAAAAGTTCCCACACATTATCTTTCAGTTGTTCCGGTCTTTTGGGAGCTCTGCCCAATACTGTTCACTTTTGATACATCAGTGGGTCCTTCCGACCAAATATAATGTGCTGTCCACCCCTAGTTGAAGGGCACCATCATAGGAAAAGAAAAGACAGTTTTTCAATTGGGCTTGTGCACCGGCCCGATGGAAACCTGGAGACCATACATCCTAACAGAAATTGTTTGCATATGCTCAGTGCATTACGAGTGTGTATGAACCTGCACTCGCACTCGTTGAGTTCCTGCCTCGGACGTCTAAATGTTTACATATCTGTCATTCCCACCAAGGACCATCCATGCTTTGTCAAAACTTGCTCTGTCATATTTCTGCTAGGAGATAAAGTAACAATGGAAATTTCAGTTTCCATTGCCCCAGTGGAAACTGTCAGGCAGGGCACTGAGTAGTGAAATCCAGAAAGCAAACGTCTAACCTTCGACCTTTGACCTCCTGCAGGGTATTGTCCAGGAGTATGTTGACAGGATGTTTCAGGCCATCCTGACAGTGGACGGCACACCGCTGGCCATCAAGTACCTGTTTGACTTCTTTGACAGCCAATCCACCCGCCACGGCATTGAGGATCCAGACATCGTCCACATCTGGAAGAGTAACACGTGAGTACAGACATCGATCAGTACCAGCCGAGTCTTTGTAAAGGAGTTTGCTAGTCGAGTACCTCATAAAAAAGCAAATATTTTTCATCATAGTTATCCCAAGTTCTTTTACAAGTACAAGCCTACCGTTACTGCTTACAGTGGATAAACAATAACTATGTTTTTGTTATAGTTTGATATGAGTAGCTTTGGGTATATAGTGAGACTTAAAAAGTTCTGTGCACTTAAGAATTAATCGCAAAATAGTAGTGATTTACTTTAAATACTTGATTAAACACTGGTATAAAGCATACAAGATTCGTAACTTTGACTTCATTGTTCATCTTGGACCAGTTGCTATCAGTGTAGTCATAGAATCCAGTGTCTTTCTTCCGTGACAGCCAGTTGATAAGAACTCTGGTTTGAAAATTTTGTAGTAAACAGTAGAAACAATTACTCCAAAGTTCCCAAGCCCGCTAAAAAAGCACTTCTTTCAAGATTTTGACATCATCAGTGGAAAAATGTACAGCTCACTAGCCCCTTATACAATGCGAACATTCCACAAAGTGTTCAGGCAGCTTTGATCACAGGATCTGAAGTCTCAGAAAGGGATGCTTGTGAGGGGATAGGAGAGATGAATGTTGTTTCTGTTGCAAGTCTTAATGGACCACTATACGTAAACACTTCCAAAGCTGCATTCGTCTTCATTTCATTTATCATTCTCATTTGGATTGTGTGGAATGCTGTGACCTCAAGAATATTGGATTTGTAATCTATGGGTTCCAAGCCAGCCTGGGGTCGTGGTGCGTGTGCCCTTGGGCAAGGCACTTTGTCATTCAATGCTTCTCCCCACCCAGGAGTTATTGGGCACCTGTAAGGATTTAGATGGTTTTTGTGGTTGATTTAGCCGCTTTGCCCCAAAATGGCTGCATCAAGCAGTGTACTCCCCAGGGAGCTGAGATGGTATTTGGAATGGGCCCAATGAGAAGGGTTAATGCTAATAGAAAGCGCTTGCTCTCAGTCAAAAACAATAGATAAGAGTGACAACCTTGAAATGCCCTTTCTGTAAAGCTTGCGTTATCTTGAAAAAGTTTCTTCACATTCCTGAATGGCCTCCCCCACCCCATTTTATGATTTAGGCTGCCACTGCGTTTCTGGGTCAGCGCCATCAACCACCCTAACAACATCTTCGACATCAGGCCCACACCCTCAGTTGAGTCAAGCCTGGGCGTCATCGGACAAGCTTTCTACGATGCGTGCAACAAGTCAGACCATCAACTAGGCAAGGTAAAAGAAAAAAAGAAGCATTCTTTTTGGACTAATCCTATTGATAACAGGAATAACATGATAAGATAAGATTCTCAACTTGGTGTAAATCTGGTCACCCTGACGATAACACGATACAAACTACGAGTATTTTTTTTAATAATGCATTTTTCCCCGGATGTGAAGAGTCCATTTGGCACATCATGCTGTCACTCAAGAGTGGAGAAAAACTTTTCCCTTTCCTGAAGAGTTCCCAAGATTTTTAACCAATCCATTGCAAGAAACCTAGTTTAAAATCCCATGTGAAGTGTGTCTAAGCCCCAGAGATGATGACAAGTGTTCTAGCAATAGGTCTAATTAATTAATCTCAACATGTGGTGTGTCCTCATCAGAATTGTGATTCACAGTCTGAGTTCTTTGCAAATCTCTTTTCACTAATTTTTGCAGACAGATTACGAGAGCTTGAGCAGACTGTCTCAAAATGTTTTACTCGCCTTTCTGAGACAGTCTGCTCAAACTCTCATAATCTGTCTGCAAAAAATGCCCCAACAGTTCCAATCACAGCAAGGGCGCTGCCTGGTAATTTTGTGTGGCCTTATGATTCTGGTGAACTTCTTGTTTTGATTTCACTCTCAATTCTTCTGGCGATGGCCTCGCAGGAGTCCTCATTCAACAAGCTGTTGTACAACCGGGAAGTGAGCAGATACCGTGAGCTGGTGGAGTCTTACTACACAGGAATCGGGGACATGAATCGCATCGCCTCCCAGGAGCTGGAGAGAGAGCTAGCCAAGACTTGTCAGGTATGTAGGGGTTACCCTACACCGCAGCATTGCGACACCCCCTCCCCCCCACCAGGTTTTCCTCAATTTCCGGCTTTCCATCAGGTGAACAAAAATTTGGGCGTCGTGAAATTTAGCATATAAATTACTGTTGTGTCAACAGAAAGTCTTGTCCATTTTCATTTGAGGCGCAAAGGGTTCAAGGCCCTTGTGCTTTGATTGCAGAATTTCTCTCTAAGCCAGCAGACTCTGTCTTACTGAGGTCATGGAGAAAGATCTACTGGTGTCCCAACGGCCTCTAACTTCGGCTGTTTGTTTGCGAATGTGTCTAGGGACATTGTCAGTGAATTCAGCGGTTGAAAGAATTGTTTTAAGGTGTGTTCAGAATGACCGCCACACAACGTTTGCTGTCTACGAAAGTTTTCACAGTGCCTTTCACCTTTGAAGAGGGCCGATGGGAATGTCCAGCAAGTAGTGCAACCTTATCGGCAAGATTCACTTATATTTTAAGTCACTCCCAGCGTGAATTTTGCAGTTGCTCTTTTATTTTTTATCTTCCCTTTCTTTAAACTTGAACTCACAGAACTTCACAGGTCTTTTCAGCAAGCTGAGCACCCTACTGCAACTGTTTCAGTTCACCAAAAGCAACAAAGAATTGGTAACTATGTACCCCTAATGTCGTCGAGAAGCACTTTAGTGACCAGGCTATAAAAGGTTCTCACATACCTTTTGTCTGGTTGGATATCACAGTGTTTTTACATAAAAACTCAGATCCTGATGCAAGCTGTCCCAAACAAAGCACAACTTTTCACTTTTCACTTACCATTGAGAATTAAATGAAAACACCGTTTTGAACACAAAGACTGCCTCCAAAGTAAGTTTGGGTTGTTTTTGGTTACAAAGAGCACAGTGCAGCAGCGTTAAGGAAACCGCGCTGCAGCAAAATTGCTTTGTGTCTGTCGTCAGGTTTCTACTAGCAATCATACCTCAGTAGTCCCTGTCAGGCAGCTTTGCTCTCTGTGTTTGAGCGTGTTACTCATGTTAACAGGAGTGTCTTTGAGTGCGCGAGTAGCAGGAGTATTATTTGCGGCTGAGCGAGATTATACTCTTGATCCACAGGAATTTACTCTTGCATCATGTCATTTTCAAGATGGCAAAACAAAGTAATCATTCTCCGTTTCATCATGTGACCTGAGACCAATGTGCTCAGAAAATTTTCCTCTGCCCCTGAGCATCGAGAGTTAGGAATGCAAGTGCAACCTGTGCATTCACTCTGCTCAAAGGAAGTGAAATTGTGTGCACTTGTCATAGGAGTTGAACGTTTGTGAGCATCTGGGTTAATTTTAATAAGTGGATATTTAGCCATCACCAGCAAATGTAACGGAGTAGTATTTAGCCAGTAAGGCGATAAAGATTATTAATAGATTACCGTCAGATTCCAAGCAGGGTCCATGGTGTAGTGTTTAGCACACACATCTTGAGATCACATGATGCGCTCCCAGCTAGGTCTGATTCCCAGCTATCGTCCTGTGTTTCACCCCACCCCCCCGAGTATTCTTCTTTTGTTTTTGTTTTTCAAATCAAATTCAACATTCAATGGCAAAGTATTAGATTTTTCTTTGTATGATTCGTGGCTCTCACTGCGAACATCGAACAAAAGAGACACTGCACTAGCAATGAGGGTCCATTGTTATTGCACCGTGCTTCTTCTGTTAGATGTTCCTAGTGTCTGGAGAATGTTTTTGAAGGGAAAACTATCTGAAATCGTAAAAGGTCTGATTCCCACCTCAGTGGAACACAAAGTCACAGTGACTGTAGGTGCAGAACCAGACTATTAAGATTTGTCACTGTAAGAATTTCTAAAAATCCTAAACAACAGCTACAGTGCACGTTCCCTGGCAAAATATCATTTAGTTGAATTTGCCAGCAACGTCAAAATATCCACTACCTTAATTTTGCTATTAACCAGCCTACAGTGGAGGACAGTCTCTATATTGTAGCGATGGATTATGGGTTAAATCATTCATTGTTCTCTGAGTCGGTGGCGGTTAGCGTGTGAACGTGTCTCATTCTCTTGTTTCTTTTGGTCGTTTTTCTGTCTAAAAGCTGATAAACGCAATGGAAGAGGACGAAGTATGCCAGCGTGACAATCTGGGCTACGAGCTGGAGCAGGTGGAAGAAGTCCTTGAGGGAGGGGAGCAAAGGTACGTGTAGCGTGCATCCTCGGTCGCTGTTGCCGTGGTAACATGCACCACTGATGTTGCCTGTCTCCAGTTTGTGCTCAGTGTGGGAGGTCTGTTTTGAGCTTCGTGCAGTAAATGTATCTAATCAGATGTGTATTTTATTTTGCTGTTCATCATGTTCAAGTCTTTCCAAGATTGTTGTTAATCTAGGATAGTACAGGAAACTAACAATAGTTTGGCACTGTAAATATCTCCAGAAAAAAAGGGATTTCTTTTGTATTTGGCCAATTTTATTTGTCGCATTTTTAAAAATTGATTTTGTTGGAAGTAAATAATTTTGATATGAAGTTTGTGCTTTATGATGACATTCTTACGCCCTCATTTCCAAAGAGTGAAATGCACTCTGTTCACTGAGTGAACATTCACTCTCCCAACTAAAACTACAGGTGGGACAAATTCTGGTGAAATAAACTCACTTGAATAGATTAGAAGTCTGCTCATGTGCGACTGAAATGGGTTGTTTTTTCAGCTATTTCAATCTGAGTTTAGAGGAATGGTCACTTTCAATCATCCAGTCCTGAGTTTCACTCTTTTGAAATAAGGCAGAGTATGTCAGCTGGAGGAAAAGAAGGGAGATAGTTCTTTGAAAACAAGAAATATTTGTATTTTGCACAACGATCTTTTCTGTATAAGAAGCTTTTAAGTTTTTTTTAAGAAGCTATTAAGTATTAAATACTCAAGTACAGTTGTTTTTTATTGACTTTAGCATGTTACAGTACTCAGAATATAGTAAGAAATAAGTTCCCGCTTACTGCCAATCTGAGCAGAAGTCATCAGAGATTAATTGCAGTTACCAACATCTGGGGGGTAAAATCTTCTCACTCAATCAAGTGACAAAAATTCTAAAAACCTGTATTGTCCACAGCCGGTGGAGGGGTTTATGCTTGGAGTGATGAGCTTTCTGTTTAAACGATGACAAGAGTTTTGGATTGATCAAAGATCCTCTGTTGAGCGACACGTTGTACTCATTCAGATGCATTTTTGCAGGGGTGCCTGGGAAGGAGGGCACTTGTGCCTGGAGCAGTTGAATCATTTCCAGCATTTATTGCAGAGCTAAGTACTAACCTTCGTCACCAAAAAAGTCTCATTTTTTTATACCATTTTATTTAGGGGTTGAGCGTTGTGTCTGCATCTTCCACAGAAACTGTACTTGTGACCAGATGTCACAAATGAGCCTTATAGCCTCTTTTTAATACTTAGGTTTTTGTTTGCATTGCATAGGAAAAGCAAACAGAGCCGTGGTTTCTGTCAGTTTGTCATTCTGATAAAAATGAATCTTGTAAGGCAAACATGTTTCTGCTGATATTTGCATCGTGCAAGTTTCTCCTCGTTATCTGTCATTCATAGGTGGCTCTAGCCACTTCCAGTCGTTTTCTCAGGTTGGGTCACCTTGTTTCATCAAAACTCCTGATATTGCGTACACACAAGTGTGGACTCCCCATTACCCGCATCCAAGCATGTGCCATTACCAACAACCTGCAGGGGTGTTGCATTCCCAGGATGCTCGCACTCTCCATTTATTGTGTGTAGTTCTTCATACTGTTTACCTGCAACTCGCCCCAGACTGTATTAGGATTAGGCTCGAGGTTGCTGGCCCAGATCCAATCAGAACTAACCACACAGATTACTACAACAAATGAATTTTTAAAAAGGACATAAAACATAACTGTGTGAATGGTGCAAAAATATGCAGAAACAGCATTCTTTTTAAACGATGCCAAATTATGACTGTTTTTGAATTAATGGATGTATTGTATTATAAACTAATAAGCAGATATATTTAGATACTCATATTTGCCATAACTTATTTGGACGGAAGTAGTTACAAAATAAACCAAGCATTTTGGAGATTTCTTAATACGGTGCATGTAATAGTAGACCGATGTTAAACTTGCCACTAAATTCATGCACAATATTTTGCTTCCAACACAGTTTAATAACAAATCTTGCCAATATCACTGCCCCATTTTGCCAATATGTGAAACAATAATTTAAGATCATAACAGGTTGTTGTAGCAAATTGCTGTTCCAGAAAAGAAGAGAGCGAGAAAGGTTTATGCAAAAGGCATGGTGTGTCTGTGATTTTTTAATTTGAAGATTCCTCATGTTTTGAAACTCCTAATGATGGGACGTTGAAGAACATCAATCCTTGCCCAACTGTATCTGTAAAAACAGTCCTGTTTCCAGTCATTTCACTGTTTGTGAAGTGTTGGCCATAATACATTGAATTACCAGGGTATTGCCAGGATTTACCAGGGGCTGATTGAAATTTTATAAAAGTAGCCATCTTCAACATGGTGTGAGGGCATCTATCACTGTTATTATCTGCATTGTACCTTCAGGCTTGGACCTAGCAATTTTTAATGCTAATATACATGTAGTAGCAATGATTAGTGTTTAATAGTATTATTGTAATAGTCTAAGTTAGGTGTGCTGTGTAGTTGGTGTATGAGTGAGCTATTGTTAAAGTATCTGAAAAGTATAGTGTGGATATCAGCATTGAAATAACAAGCACATATGGTATCAGTGGACCAGTAGTTAATTTAGTTCTAGTGTTTGTGAATTTGATATCATTGGCTGAACTGCAATACTCGTAATATTTTATAGTAATGACTTTATAAAAAGGAATATAAAAAAAACTATTTTGTATTTTGTTACTATCTCAGTGATAAAAGTACTCAAGGTTTATGTAGAATTGTAAGCATTGTACAATCTGAGTAATTGTTAGAACAGAAGCATGATCACGAGATTTTATCTTGCTGACTTTGCATCATTTTTAGCAATATTTTATACGGGAAATTTGTCTTTGTTGGTTGGAAACAAGTGATTTCAAAATAGTGTTTTCAACAAAGTTTTTGTATTAGTGTCCCATTCTTTACCAGTTTAATACTTTTTTTACATTGCTTTGAAATCAACCAACAGGTATTTTACCTAATATTTCATCTTTATGCATTGGCTTCTTGGGAGTAGCCTTTTTACTTTCCAGCTGTTTTGACAGTTTCCACTCTTTATCCCTTGTTATTTGAGACGTCTTCCACAGGGTTGGATATTTTCCAAAATTGCTGGATATGATTAACAACGGATTGGAATGTTGATTTAAAAGGCTTCATTACATACAGGTAAATGGTAAGCTTGCCAACACCATGGAGGGTCCTCTGAAGAATTATTCACAAAAAAATTGAATGCAAAATGTTACCACTTACAAAGGAATTTTGTCCGGAATCATTATATGAGTTTTTAACTTGAGGTTACCTATACCTACAGCTTGTGCTCATTAATTAATGGAAATATGAATGAAATTACTTGCCTTTTAAGCCAGCTTACAAATTATTTAAAACATAGACATGTATGTAACTTTAACATAAAATCATTTTGACTTTCAATGCATGAGTAAGGTTTGTCATAATCATGAGAGGAAAAAATCGTTAGTCTTGAGAGCTCATTAGAGGACTGCAGTAAAGGCAATCCTGAACAGGAAACGCATAAATAAGTTCACTTTGTGCAATTTAAATCTGAGACTTTGAGGTGCTGGTGACAGCAGACATATCAGCCCCTTTTCCCAGCATCGCACATGCTCAGAACTATGCTTGCATGCTCACAACAACACACTCAGGCCCAAAACTGGTAAAAAGTGGTAAAGTGGCATTGTTTCATATGAAGGGTTTAATTCCAAAATGAGATATATCCATTTGAAAAACATGCAATTTTTCCACAATTATGAAAGATCGAAGAGCTTAGCAGTGCACCATTTTTCCACAATTATGAATGATCGAAGAGCTTAGCAGTGTACCATTTATCCTTAAACTTCTTCTTTACTGTACTAACTCATTAAAGTTATGTTGCACTGTCTAAAAGCTGCATAAACTGATGGCAGGCAACTAAGAGAGGGTAAGATTCTGAAAGATACCAAAATGGCACCTATCCCATTTTGGAAATAAACTCTTCATATGTTAAACCATGAGAAATTGGTGCCTGTGTTCTTGAGCAAGGCACTTCGCTGCAACCACAGATGATTTAACAGCCTGGAGTTTGTTGAAACCTTTCCTTGGAGATAATAATGTGGTCAGGCGTTGAACATTTCCAGCCTGAATGCCTGCATCAAATGTTAGATTGTTTGAGGGTACTCTTGAACATTGGTGCAGCTAGATCAGTTCAGTGGAGAACAAGCGTTGCCAGGAAGCTTTTCTTCTGAAATTGGCCAACTGCCAGAGATTTGAACAGCTGAGGTGGAAAGTTTTCCATGGCATTTTCCTTAAGGTATCTCCTACAATGGTGCTAAAATACCTCTTGATATTATCGTTTATCAAGGAATATAATGTTCCCATTGTAACTTATAATTTGTTTCTTGTCGGCAAATTGTGTGATATTAGATTCCATAAGGGATTTCATGGCATTTAATTGTGATGGTTCTTATCGTAAGTTGATTTCAATGAAAGAATTTCCACAAAATCAATTATTAATGACTACTCAAACATTTTGTGTCGGGAAAGGAAGTGACAAACAACATCCTGTTCATGTTTACATTTGGGACACATATGAGTTGGAAGCCACTCAACTTGTGATATATGCACGTAATCATGAAGCCACTGCCTTAGTGGCATCGTCTTGAATTAGAAGGGGGGGCAGCTTTTTCCCGTGCCTCCTGAAAAGTTATCACATCCATGTTGTCCATTATCCCGCAATAAGCCAATTTCCTGTCCTGTCGCCATGTTGATTTCAGTGCCCATGCGCGAGTAAGTGAATAAAGCTAGAGGGGACAAAGCTAGAGGGGAACAAATTGTCTACAACAGTGACAATCCCGAGCATCCATTTGCCAAACATTATACGTAACGTCATGAATTTGTTCCCTTCTGTTAAATCTTCTGAGCGTGCACACGTGAAACGTGAGTTCCGTTTCGAGTTTATTCCTATACATGTAGTTGTTATCATGAACTGTTTTGTACCTTCCTTAGGGTTTGTAAAGCATCAATCTATTTGTGAAATTTTCCTGTTGCAAATTCAGTCGTGCCAATATATTCTTCTATTTTCCTACACTTTTTAAATATTTTGAGAAATAGGTAAATATTGTCTTGCCGTGTACTTTCTTCTTGTGTCTTTAGTTCAAGCTTAAGTTGGCTTACCTCCAACTTGAGTCCAACTGAGATGTAATTCACTTCGAGCACAATTAAATGAGACAATATTAAATCAATGCAGATTGAATTAGATTTGAAGAATGTTTTGGAATTCACCTGAAGAATTTCAAACTGTGATGAATTTGCAAAGCTGAGTCGGAGCACAATGACATACAAAATGCCAGACGTAGTAAGAATAAACTTGTTTAACTTCCCCGGCCATTCAACCTTGTCGAAAATATTATCTTTGACCTTCTCAACCTTTGGTCAACGAAGACTCCCTCAAAATGAAAAACAAAGTAGAAAACTTAGAGACATACCATCATTAGAAGAATGTATTTGTCGAGAAAATAAATACTTTGAATGTGTAATGTTGTTTTTCAGTGTGTATCTGTGCAGCCACCATGCGTACGTAGTTTCTGATACATGGCTCTCAGCTCACAAGTCTTTTACTAAACCTACATGTCCCGTCTAAATGCCCCTTCATTTGGCTGATGCACTTTTTTGCAAGGCATTGAGATCTGGAGCAGAGGCCAGACAATTTATTCCACCTTTGATCATTTAAACAGCCGGTAGCACTTGCCAAGTGGGCGGTGCCATTGAATATACTTACTGTTATTGAACATACTTAGTGTGATGCTACTTTTCCCTACGACTTCACCAAGGTCTGCAACTTCTAAACGAAGTTTTTCAGACTCTGAAACACGCCAAATGTGAAGAGATTTGGACACATTTTGAGGTTGCCAGAATGAGAGTCCACCTTTATTGCTAACGGGTAAAAACAAAGATTCAACAGGTTATAAAAGCACTTTATCAAAAAAATGAAAACAATACCAGAAATCTGTGGAAAAAAATTACAAAACTAGTTTTCCAATTCATATCAAGAATAATGCTGTTCTGATCGGGTAGATATATCCATGAAAAGTTATTTCTGTAGGCTCTGCACTTGAAAGTTTACCAGTTTTGTATACCTATTTCTTTTGTTTGTTTAAGATGCACAGCCAATAACTGAAGATATTTAATATTACGTGATCTGTGAAAGGTGAGTGAAAATGTTATAGTTCAATGTGGCAACTAAAATCAGAAGATGTCATTGATTTCAAGAATTGCTCGGATTACTGTCGGTGTTGTCCAGTCTCCTCTCCCAAGTCAATCCCAAGTTGTCCAGTCTCGAGTCGGCAAGCTTACTACTCATCTGAATTGTGTCTGATCCCGTTTCAGCCTATGCAACTCGTGATGAGCTTCAAGGTTGGTTTCCACTGCTGTTGTCGGGTCCTCTTTCATGAGTACAGCCGAACCTCGTTAATAAGAGGTCCTTCGGACTTGGCATGAAAAACAAATTAAAACCTAGCATTTTCCTTGTTATAATCAGAATCTTGTATTAACAGTGTTATTGTTAAACGAGGTTTGACTGTAATATGGATTCTTAAAATCTAAGCTCACTATTTGAGCAATTTTTAATCTTTTTGTTTTAATAATTTTTTATCGTGCATAAGTATTTTTATACAGTATAATTGTACAGTTTATGTATGCTTGTTGCCAGGTGCCATTTTTTTACAATAAAACGGAATAACAACTATAATAATAATTATTTCTCCAAAACCACCAAAAAAATCCTCTTTTATAGGCCTATTCAAAAAAACTGTTGGGTTTTCGTGAACCAAGATTATCCATTAAAACCCTAACCCCCTAGGGTGTATGTAAAATCATATTGAAATCAGAGGATTTGGGACTGTTAGGGTTAAGGTAAAGATAAAATGCTGATACAGTTGAGTAACTTTGTCAAACTTGTTTCTTATTCGTAGGTCAGGCAGGCACTGCAGGTGCAACTGTCATGGACCTCGATGGACTTGGTTCTCTGAAGAGGAAGAGCCTGGGCATCGGTGTCTGGATCCTCGGGAGGCGAGCAAGTGAAGGAGTGCATCTCCATGTGATAGCTGTCAACGGCACAGCCTGTAGGGCAGCGTTGGATGGGATGATCTGAAGCGCAACCCCTCAAGGGAGTGCTGGGGTCAACGAGGACTGACTTCTCCGGTTTGCATCCTGTATTCATTGTTTTAACAAGAGGGACAGAGACTCTTGGGTCAGCTGAAAGTTCCTCTGGTCAGTTCTCCACTGTTCCTTTTAAGGTTACTGGTGATAAAAATCCTGTCCGACGTACTGTACCACGTTTCCACAATCCACAATGGTGAAACGTGGTATTTACCTTTTAACATTGAAAATGAAATTTTTTTTCCCGTCAATATGGGTAGCATGAGGCATAAATTTAGACTTGTTAATTTGCCTGTAATTAACTCTTAAAGGCTTGAGAACCTGTGTAAAGCCATTTTTAGTCCTTTTGAAGTGCTCCCCAACAAAACCAGGTTGGAAAAAACTGAGTTGTTCTGAATTTATCGCAAAAATCAAACTTTGCGACTGGAATGAAATGGCGCTTTGGGGATTGGGGAAGTTGGTCACCTAGACAGAAATTCTGTCTTTTGTAGCTTCCTGTAAAGCTATCAAAGGAAGTTGAAACCACCCCTATCCAGGAGCCAGCCTCATCCACAACAATTAGATGCTAGCGGCAACCTTACCACAGACTATGCACGGCCTCTCCTGCCTCAACTCCTCTGTCCCACACAGCCCAAAGCGGACCTGGGTCCCCCGTCCACACGTCCCCTCACTGACCTGACAGTCTCGCCACGCCCCCCACTCCTCCTGGCACTCTGCTGACCCTGCTCCATTGACTATGGAGAGGAAAAACAAACGCATCCCGTCATGGTTGAACAACAAGTAAAGCAATGACAGCGAGAATGAAAGAGGGCTACCTCATTAATTAATCGGCTGCACTTGGCTAAACACATCACATGCCTGAGGAAAATATTCATAGCCACAATTACATTAGCCTCTCTTGTACTGCCCACTACATGCATCGCTAATAAGGGTGACTGAAGCTAGCAGAACTCAGTGCAACCCTGTTTGGTGTCGGGTTTGACCCACAGGTACTTTGGCCATGGCCAATAAGGTCCATGTTTTTCATTTCAGTAGTAGTGTGAAACGTTTGATGTTTTGATGGCTGCATTAGATTTCATAACACTTTTTTCAATTATTATTTTGATTCGGTATGGCTAGCCATAGTCAACTAGCCACTGGCACAAAATTGTATATTGCAACCTTGATGTAAAGGAGACTGAGTTCTATACGGGTATGTGCTATTGCTGGCTGTAGGTGAGGAACTGTGATGTAGTCAATGGCTGCCTGTATCTTGGTTTTAACTGTCACCCTTTAATATCCCAGTTGCCAATTGAACTTTCCAATAGAGCAACTGTTTTGCCCTCCACAGAGAAAATTTAAGTGTTTTGATATTTGAATGTTACCCAGAACAAAACTTCAGTTGCTTCAATTGAGTACTTGCCAGGTGCTGGAGCAGTCTTCATCGGTGGTGTGCAGTTGATCTGGACAAAAATGGTGCCAAACACCGAATCTCCCTCGGGGTTGCGTGCCGGAATGATCTGCAAGAATGCCACGTACACCACTGTTGCTATGAGCTCATGTCAGGCCAGATCACCCAATCAGAGGGCTGGATTTTAAGTGTTCTGTAGGCCCTATAGGTACACTGAAGTGTTGAATCCTTGATGCATTGCACTGATTCAGTGGGGTTTAACCATATTCCTCTGGGGTTTTCCTCCCACCATTAAAATCTTCACTTCTTGCCAATGTCTTCTTTCAACAGGTTTTTAATGGTTTGTGAGCTACAGTGCCGGTGCTTTTAAAGTATACTTAGTTTCATCAGAAATTTATAATAATGCATTCTGCAGACATAAGTGATAAAGTGCTTTACTCGTGGGAAAAACATTCCATGGCAATGCACAGGCCCTAAAGATTAAGAGGAAGTTTATGGACACACAGATGCGATGGGCCGCCCAATCAGACGTGTCTTAGAAGCCTGCATATAGCAAACATGGGTCGAACCAATAGGAGCAAGTAAACGGCAACCCAGGCAATACCACATCGGTCACTTTGCCGCATTTTACTTTGTGGCGAACAAGTCTGCAGTACAACATAGTTTGAACTCAAGGGTTAAAAATCAAAAGCCCTCCTGGGGCATCCCTGAGGCGACCCCGCGGTGAGTTTACCCTGGGATGGATCCTCCAGTAAAGGTCCACACTGGTATGAACTCAATTACTTTTCCACCCACTTTTCGATTCTCACCTCAATCCTGATGGCATCTTCTTGGGTCTCTATCACCCTGTCTGTCACTATCTCCCCATTGTCATCAGTCTGGCAGGGTTTAGCAAGATACCACAAATTTTCGGCCTCCAGCACACGGTTGATGGTGCTGATGTTGCCATGGATGTTGACGTTTTGAGGAGTGTGAGACTCCACTGTCGCAACTGGTTTAATAAAGGCAATGGAAAAATTACACCCAGAATAAACGGCCGATAGTAGCTCCAGGGTGTGGATTTGTGGTATCAAGGAGATTAAGCTTCTAAACTGGTCCAGATGTAATTAATTTGTTGTCATTTGTAATTTGTCATGAAGTTTTGGATAGCTGAGTATCCAGCAAGGAGAGATATGAGAGAGGCGGGAGAGAAGTTTGGGGACGACTCTTCTATGAATGAAAGTTGTTAACAAGCACTTCAAAAAAAATCTCCATTGCCCCAGACTCAAAACCTTGATTTGCCACATGTTGCTTGTAGACTTAATTCATGACTGAAGCTATCATATAGTGAGTGACGCTGAGAACATTCACAACAAAATATGCCTTCAGTGGAGTTTACACCTATCTACAGTTGGTTCAGTCAAATTGGCTGCCGTTGGAATCCAACTGTGAGAGTAGCAAATGGAACCGAATCAATTTTGCGACCACTCCTTTGCCATATGATAGTTCAAACTGTAGGCACTGGTTTTTTTTTTCGGCATGTGCAGTTTGTTTGCGCTCACCCTTCTGGGATTCAGTGCAGATTCTAGAGCAGCCTTGGTGGCAGCACATCTTAGTTCCAGGGCAAGCTGTGTGGAAACTGCACTCCTCTATGCACGCACCATCGCTGCCTGCGGTAGCTGTCGGACACTCATCTACAACCACAGTTAAAGAAGAAATTTTACACTGAAAGGAGGCTAGGAGGTAAGCTGTCACTTCATAACATGCCCTTCAAGAGCCAGACATGGGTAATTCCAGAAATTAGGGGTCCAAAAGTGTGACATTTTTGTGTCCCTGTTACATCTGACCTTTGTAATTTGACATGGACTTATCACCGGAATTGATTTCAAACTATTACTATTTGTTAAGCAGGTAATTCGCATTAATTCATCACTTTTGGAAATTAGAAAATGTGTTTTGAACTTACAAAATCATACGACAGATGTGACAGGGATACAAGCAAAAATGGACCCCTAATTTCTGGAATTACCCACATAATGACTTGAGTCAGCCCTCCAAAAATCACCTAAGTATAAATCTGAAACGATGACATCCTAATGGACTTTTATGAGCATTAGAGAATGCAAGCCTTGATAGCTTTCTTTTTGGCAAGGATATTACGGGCGATTCACAATAGTGCGCCACCAAGAGTTTGCAACGCATTGACCAATCTGTCAACCCTTTCCAAACGTGCACTGGGTCGACGGATTTCACGCACTGTGTTGAAAAAAATAAATGAAGTAATATTGCTGAACAAAATCATTGGAAATTAATCATTTTTCAGACTTGTTTTGACGTCCTGACCAAAAAAGGTATTTTTGAGTAGGAAAAATGCTCCATCTTTCCAAAGAAAAAATCAAAAGAGTAGACGCTGATGATGTCCCTTTCCGTTGGCTCGGACCTTTATTTGCATCCAGTCTTGCATGTTGAAGACCAGCCAAGCACTTATTGTCTTATATTTCACCTTGCCAATGGTACACAAATCCATCTCAATGTCGTGATTTTGCTCCCATCCTGTGAGTAGGATGGCCCTTGGTCCTCCCCGTGCTGTGCAGGCTAGGTATTATGTGACTGAAAGGCCCACGTCTTTGCTCGTATTGGGAAGGGGAGAAAAACTCTTCCAGATCTCTACTCACAAAGTTCGGATATCCTGGACTGCTCCACGATGAGTTGCCCCTTAAGAGCCACCATGGACATGCTGACAGGCTCGTCCTCCGCGTATCGTCCCTCGATCCGCATCATGTCCAACGGCAGGAGGTCCATCTCGGTCATGCAGACCTTGGAGGGCATGGCAAGGAGTGGGAGGTAGGGGCGCTCACCGTTCACGACTTCAAACGTGACCACTGCCCTCCTCATGGGAGGCCTGACCGCTGGAGGGGGAAGGGAGGGCATTTTGACTCTCAAGGATACAATCATCCTAGGCATGGTAAATTTGGGCGGGGTGCGCAAAGTAATCACTAGCATCAAACTCTTGAAATGACTTACAGTCAGTATTTAAGGTAATAATACTTTTTTTTTGAAATGTCATTATTTTTTTTTGGCCTTTCGTTGAAAACATAAACACATATACCTGTTCATTCCCATACTACAGGTTGCACGCACTGAGGGTGATGCATGTATGGGTGTAATGTAGCTTTGGTGGCATATTATGAGAAAGATTTCTTTTGTCAGGCAAGTTAGCACTGGGTTACTGGGACATGCTGCCGTCTTCACGACTACGGAACAAGTATGGGTGTACATGAAGTCTGTACTCCCATGGGACATCAACATTGCTGCATAAAAACACGCCATTGCTTGTTCATATTCAGATCCAAATTATACTTGCCTACTCCATAGGTTTCCCTGAGTGCCATAAATGGCACGGTGTAATTCACCTTCACGGTTGCCTCCCCTTTAAAGTTCTTGAACGGCGTGAACTTGGCACTCAGCAGCGCTTGCAGCACCATGTCCGTTGGGCCAGAGATGCAGAGGTAGGACGGGATGCGGTTGTGCTGGCCCATGTGGTCCATGTAGACACGCAGCCCGTCGGGCGCCGAGACCGTGACTAGACCATGGTCAGCGTAGATGACAGTGTGAAGGATGCCTGGGTGAGAAAAAATCCGCAACAAGAATTTGATCTGTTTAAAGATGGTATACAGTGAAGATGGAAGTAGAATTAATTTAGGGAACCATGCACGAGGGGACATCAAGAGTCATATCCTTTTCTGACTTCTAGAGGAAAAGTGCAGGTGAAACAAAGAAAGATTCCTCGCATTTAATAAGGGAGCTAAGGCCTCCTCAGGGAAATGAAGGCCCCTTTCCATGGCTCTTGCAGGTTGGTCCCAACCCCATGTGCCACACACAGACCCTCTCTAACGAAATGCATTGTTGTGTGCAAGGTCGAGTACTTCATTCATGTTTTATGAGCACTCGTGCCCTTAAAGTCTTCAAAAGTATGCATTCATTTGTTACTCTTCAAACTACTCTCAGTAATGCAATTATGCACTTAACTGCGGCAAAAATACTTACAAATGAGGCCGGTGAAGTACGCTAGAATTGGAGAAATTGAAATCAGTATAATTTACCAGTCCTGTCAGGCACTGAGGTTGCATAGCGCAGGTCCATTGGTACAATTTCACCCTGCCACACCGTGATCTGGTTTTGAGATGGCTCAATAACTGCATCTTTGTCATTGTACAGGTAGTTGATGCACTCTGGCTTTGTCTTGTACGCCCACAGCATCATGTAGTCAGACAGTCTGTCGGAGCCATCTTTGTACATGCGTATCTGACAAGGTACAATCACAAGTCATCGTGTCCACGTATCCAACTGGCTTTGTCAGCAATGGCTTTGTAGTGGAGTTCACATAATGTACAAGTCAGCCTACTTGTGACTTGTAAGTCATGCATAGCATTATGAGTTTGGACTCATACATTGCCTTGTTTGTAATTCGTATGACTTATGGAATATATCTCAAACATACAACTTATAGCCTATATGTATGACTGTGAATCATAACTCATGCATAACTCGTATCTACGATTCACAAGTCATACTTATAACAATTTCTCCTAACAATACTCATAACAACAACTTATATATTGAACTTACAACTTTATAACTCGGAACTGAAATGGAAATATCTTTCACCACGTTCCCAGTGCAGTTTTTTACCATTCCCTTATTTCCAATGCTCTTCATTACCTCTATGGTGACTTTACATGCACCCTCACTGCCTTCTAGCAGATGGACCCGGATTTTCTGGAGTTTGTCATTGCAGTCTGGCACACTGGTACAGGTGAAAGTGGACCTATTGGTATCCGTGTTTTCAATAGTAGCCAGCTGGGAAAATTGAGTAAAGAGAGAACTGTTTTAAAGGAGGGAGAAAGTTTTAGATGTGCGGACCCAAAAGTTGGCAAGCAGCTTCTCAGTGCTCCACAAATTTGCATTTATAGATCTTTATGAAGCCCAAGATTTTCCAAAAAAGAATAAACAAACTGCTTTGAAAACCTGACAACTTTCAAACCCCTTCAGTGGAATTACAGTCTCAACAAATCCAATACATTCTAAGAACCATATGGCATAACCGAGGGAGATGAGTCAGTGGTTGCTGGCGCTGTATTTAAACAATGTGGGCCCTGAAACGAATATCACAGCGGCAATTGCAGGAGCAAGTCTTGGCAGTTTCATCAATTATCTGTGTTCAACAGCCAGACAAATTCTTCAATGTGTCAAAATAAAGAGTTGATTCTAATGCATATAAAAACCTATAGGCTTTCCAGACAATTTTCATTTTTTTTAATTCAGCGATTCAAATGTTGTAATCCCTCCAATAATTTCATGATCTTTTGGAAACACAAATTTAGTCATTTACAATTTTGGTCAATACATTCAATGATTTCAAGAATACTCATCATTACAAATCAAATTCATCAAAGCTGTTGCTAAATGGTAACATTCAGAAAACGAATTCGTATCGTTCATTTCAACAGTTTTACAAAGTAATTAATCAGTTTTGGGTGTGCACAATCATTGCAGAATGTCCTCAAGAACAATTTGGTACTATAAATCAACAACAGACAGGAATACCTAAAGACCTCCCCAAGTGTAAAGTGCCAGTTCTGAAACAAAAGATCTAGTGAAACATTTTAACATGATGTGTTGACACTTATGGTCTACCTGTTCCTTTTGTGTGCTCCTTGAATGAGTCTGTCATGTTTTCAAGAAAACTCATTTGAAAGAAACGAGACACTTATAGGGAAAATTATGAATGAGATGCATAGCAGAGTTACCAGTGACCAATTTGCCTCCTTTTGCATGTCACAATGACATTTGTTAAAAGCGTAAAATGGACCTCGTTGTTAGATTTTGTTACAAAAGACAAATTCATTTTCTGAATTTTCATATAGTTTGGCATACACAAGTTGGTCTTGGTAGAATTCGACTGAACAGTTGGAACTGTGCGACAAAAGACAAAATTATACATTGCACGAGTGAAAAACAGATTCTGCAGAATGCATTTGAAAAAACAATGCGTTAATTCGAATGAAATATATTTCAAAATAGCCAGGAAAAGCTACACATGTAGGCAGTGAAAAAAATTTGCTTGAGACCCGTATCCTGGGATCCAGTGAAGAACAAGATTTGAACTCCGCGGAAACAAGATTCACAGACCGTAATTAAGTTGACTAAAGATGCACATGCGGTGATAGAAGTTAACATGATACCAATGGAGTAAACATCTGCATGTAATGCATCATTCTAACCTGCTTCTCCACCACTTGCAGAGTAAACATGACCTGGAATGTCTCTTCCTTGGAGCGAATGTACAGGTTCTGGAGCAAGAAGGACCTGGCGTCTTCTGAGAAATAGGTGAACAAGTTGCTGTGCAGTGATGGAAGATAAGAGGTGAAGGTTCGGCAGGTGTGTTCTTACAAATGATTTCCCTTAATTGACAAGGTGTCATGATTAACTCTGTTCTTCTATGCTTGCCTGTGATAGCCTTTAGGAATTGCTTGCTGGCGTTGTTTTCACTGTGATTATGGTAGTGCTCGTTAAGTTGTACCAAGTCAAGGCCTGTGTGCATGCAGCAATTGTTATTTAAAGCAAGCTCCACTCCCCAATCTCTCCAGGTCGACTGTTTGTAGTTTCCTATTTGCGTGTGGGTCTTTGACACTTTTTAATCCACGAGTAAGTGGCCAATCACATGCCTGTTTGTGTATCATCCAGTGTGGCAATTAGCACGTGTACAACCCATACTGTGCAGCTCGACAGCACTGGCCACAGTAAATGCTGAGAAGCTGCAAATGAAAGTTCAACTTCAGGAGTTAAAGTGCAACTCCCCTAAGCTACCCACCGCTATACTCTCAGATCAGGAAGAAAGTTTACTTATACAAATCTAGTTGAAAAAAGTAACTTTGTGCAGGTGAAATTGGCAAGGAAATTAAGGACCACGTAGGACACAACTGTGCATGGTATTTTGTACAATGTGGAATATATTTCATTCAAGTCACTCGGCGTAAAGTGGACCTATTGGGCCAACGGAAAACACTCGACCCTCATATGGATGTCATAAATGTCTCTAATTGAGCTCACTCCGTTATGAGACTCTTGGGTTCGGATTCCCTCGTCCTCACATGAATGTCGGCATCCCAGCGAACCATGTCCACACTGGTATCCACGTCGCAGGTTGCCGGCGTGATTTCATGCATCTCCAGGTGGACGTGGCTGGTCCAGTCAGAGCAAGACTGGTTGAGCCACCAAGGGGGCAGAACGCGGGGCCACCAGGTCCAGCTCTTGCGTGGGAAGGGGTACCAGAAGCGAGGGTACCTGAACAGAGGAAACAATCCAAACATTTTTGAAGGGCATTTTTGACTCAGAATTAATCATATTTCATTTATGATACAATCTCATGATTTGCTATTCCAATAAAACTAAAAACTACCTTTTTGAATCTACAGAGTCAAATTTAAACAATAGAAATTGATCAGAAGTATATGGTCAAGTCCGTCACAGTAAGTCGATCATGGGTCAAAATGATAGGTCTGGTCATTCATTTTGTGCGATGAACAATTTTGCCCTTCTTGACAGTTCATTTGAAAGTGGTGATGTGAATGTGGGCAACTTATGACTGATTAGTAACGAACTATTTGGGTTCTAAGTTGCACTATAGTATAACATCAGTTGTTACTTGTTACCAAGATTACAGGCAACTTAATTCACAGGTGCACACAGACCTACAGGACCATCATTTCGAGTCTAGAAGAAAACTATACAGAAGCCATATCAGAATCCATTCTGAAAAAAAAAATGATATTTTACACTTCTGAGATAAAAACGGTATTTGCATTCAATATTAGAATCATCACTCGGACCATTGTGGCCAGATGACGGGCTTGAGAGGATCATCACTCATCAGCTGATCGTGATTGGACGGATCCATCCAGGAGGACTCGGGAAGGTTCCAGCTGGGTGGAGTCGGCCAATGAGGACACCAGGGGACGTACACCATGCCGGCCAGGACGTGGTTGATGCCTTCCAAAGAGCCTTGAAAGAGTAAAGAAATTACATGAAGTTGTGCTCATTCATACGAAGAACTCATTCATTACGAAGGTGATGTCATCTCAGGCATCCTCAATGGCACTCACTGATTAATAGATAAAGAATTTTTTATTGTGGACCTCATTAAAAATACCTTGATTTTCTGTACAAAGAACCAAAAACTGCCCTCTTCACCTTTTTGGGAGAGGTACGGGAATTCTTGCAAACCAATTATCAATTGGGCCTACAATCATTTTCTAGGCTGTACAAGTGTACACACACTTCAAGCGATCTTTTTTTTCCCTTCCCAAAAATCTGCCGATCCAACATGGTCACCCTGTATGAAAGAAACGCACCTTTTAAGTTCAGAGCAGTAAAGAACTACCTTTTTTGGCTTACAAGTGGGAAAGCATCATTGTACTATACCCACCAGAAGAAACGAAATTCCACTGATTTCTAACAAGTTTTTAAACGATACTGAACACTACTGTAAACTTCATACTACATTGTTCACATAATTCCTGAGTTTTACAGTTTGAAGGATTAGTGCAGGTGTGGAGATGAATGCATCCTGTGCCATCATTCTAATAAATCTCTATACTGTGAAATTCATCGGGAGACTTACCAACAAATGACAACTGCTTCTTCCCGTTGTTACCTGCCCGGTTGTCGAATGGTTCATAGGTTTCATAGAAATTCCCAAAGCGGTGTAAATTACGATACTCCTTGTGAGAATTAGGCAGCACCCACTCTGGGCTGTCCGATTCCTTTTCAAAATAGGAATGAAAATCTGTTGTTGTTTTAAGCGTTTCTATGAGTCATCCTGTACTGAGTGTGGATGCACTAAACCTTATCAAATCTGGAAACAATAACTTGACCCATCATCAGTTGAAGAACCCATAAAACCATGCTCACTTTTGCAGTTACTAGGACAGTACTGAGAGGAGCTGGTTGGACCCTTGGGATGTTATGGGGGCTAATGGTATCAATCAAGGACTGATTCAAGATGGCCAACGAGTAGGTTAGGAAAAGGAGCAAACACGTTTTTTTTAATAATGAGAGGCAATTTTTTGGGTCTATTTCATCTTTCCTTCCAAAATTTATGAAAAGTCCCAAAATGTAGTCTCACCCACTCGGAAAAGCCAAAAAGGGTTAAACAGAATTTTTTTCAAATTATTTGGGCCCTTCACAGCAATTTTTGCCTCCCTTGAAATTTTGGTTTTTGGATTCACCCTTGGTTTAAATTAAAGCTGGAAGCAAACTTGTGTCAGCAAAAGATGTCGTTCCTAAAACTTGGTGAAAATCTAAATTAAAAAGAGCTGCTACTTTTGCTCCAAGATTTTCAGAACTAGTTTCTCATTTCAAAAGACTGGTTCTTTGCCTGTCTTTCTGGGTTTTTATGTGAGGTTTAATACCTTTGGAAAGAAGATGACATCAGGTCTCTCATCTTGCTTGACCCACAGCGTCCCGCCCTGGTCCAAGGAGACCCGGACGCGGTACGTTCCCTTTACGTCGTCAGTGTCCCGCACACGCAGGCCCCCAAACCTGATCACTTGACCCTCCCTGGTGTCCAGCTGCAGCACACTGGTGGTGGGCCCGTCCAGGTTGTGGGTGTTGTGGGATGTGGTCGGGAGCGGGCCGATGTCAATAAGGAGTTTGCGCTTGACGTCGAGCGGTTCTTCTGTGGCTACGTTCCAGTTGACCGCGTGAACTTCAAAGCAGTGCCTGCCTGCTGAGGTCACTTGGGTCCTGCAACAGAGTTGGGCACTGTCTCTTCAAAAACGTAACACTTTATTTGAAATCCTCCAACAGCTACCTTTCCTCAAGACTAAAGACTTGTAAGCCTCACTTTGTACAAATATATGAGGAGAGGCAATTTCCTCGAAGACACTACAATTGCACTGGTCACTGGGCCTGTTGATGAGTCCACTCTCCCTGAAAGCATGCATTTGCTCATTTAAGACAATTAGTAAATTTCAGTTTTCCGTCTTGGGTGCTTCTCTTGATACTCAAGGATGCAAGAAAATGTTGCGCATGGATTGCTCCCTGATCACATTGCATGAGCAAAAAAGGTTAACCTTTATCGGTTCTAACCTCTTTGTGGGAAATCCATCATTTCAACTTACTTCAGAGTCAGGTTCTGCAGCTGATCAGGTGACAGATTGTTCAACTCCTGCACAGAAAGACGCCTCGTCAATCCATCGGCGAGCTCCCAACCGTTGGGCAGGGTGAGGATGCAGTAACAAGAAGCTAGGAAGAAAGGGGAGAACACACAATTATTTGGGTCTCTGCGTTTAGGTGGGAACCCAAGTATTTAGGGTTACAGATGCACTGAAAATGATCAAGTATCTACAAAGAGTTTTACCATTGGATACTTCTTACCACTTGTTAAGCTTTGTGTCCCAACAAATACATAGTTCAAATGTTTTCTTGCAATCAGGAAAGTCGTGACATTACTCTCATTTCCTACAGTACAATACAGTCACCAGATAATTAGGGTTGTAATACCTCAGCAACCCTTTTTATCTCTCTAAAGTGCTTGGTTGTTCACACAGAGTAAACAATGAGCAAACAGAAGGCAATGGCTGTTGTCAAGTCCATCACAAGTCCCTGAAAGCTAGTCCATTACAAGTCGGCCAATCTCTAGCCAGGTCACAAACATGCATCAAAAGCATTCCTCTGTCATACAGTTCATTCATTCAATCATTCACATTCGTTTACAAACACGTTTATTTCCATATTGCTGAAAATCACAAAAGGAAAGTAAAGCAAATGTTTGTTATACGGAGTGATCTTCCGAGTGAGGATCATAAAAATTAAGTAACCAGTAAATAAAGAACTGACTACAGAAAATGAAAAAAATTTTAAAATGAATGAAGAAATAATGAATACTTGTGAGTGGACTATTGAAAGGGCTTGTGGAATAACTTGTACAACGGTCAGTGGCGTATCCAGTGGGCCCCCCCCCACGGATTTTTACACTTTTAGTGTTATTTTAATATTCATCTATCAAAGTCTTATTTTAATATTTACGAGTAAGGCTTCTTTGACTGTAAGGCTTTTGATTTTTCTCTCCCTGGCCCAACACCAAAAGCTGCATATGCTACTGATGACAGATTCAACTTCAGTTCCACTGAAGGCCACACCCAAGGGCAGATTTAGAACCAAAACTGTTACGGGGTCTGAAAAAGTTGAAGAAATTCTGTATCCTTTTATGGCCTCCCTGAGGGGTGAGGCAAAGTTTGTCAGTTTTCATACTTTTGGAAAGGGGAAGTACAATGGTCCCACATCATCCTCAAAAAAATCAACGGGTGGGCCTGGACCGATTGCCCATCCCCATCTCCCTGATTTGCCAATGGCTGTACCTGTATCCCTGTGACACTGGAGTGTTTCGTTGCAGTTGCACATCGCAACTGTTAGGATAGGCCCCTCCTGCTCAATAGTCACCTGCATCCCAAGCGGTACATAGGTGCCCGATGCAGCACTGATCTTGTGCAGCTCCAGCAGGGGCACGGCCGGATTACCCCTGACCAGGATGGTCACCTTGGCGGGCAGGCTAGTCTGGCCAGAGCTGTCAGTGACAATGTAGGTGAAACTGACCACGCCCACAAAGTGGAGGGCAGGCCTGATGGAACAAAGACAGGACACAAGGACAAAAATGCTATTTGAGACTGATATGATTAATAAGAAAATGCAGTTAATTACAATAATGACTAAATTTAGTTTATGGTTGAGCTTGGTGGTCAGCACCTAGTGATCAAATAACTGTTTCTTTCCAGACATTTTCTCAGTGGCAGATTCCATCAGTGCATACCTTTTTTTTTCTTCTTTTTCTAAAAGATATTTTCCTATTTTCTTCATTCTTTTGTTCTGCTCTCAGCTGATTTTTAATACATTCAGTGCAAAAATTACCACTAAAAATATTCCCTGTGCACATTTTCACATGCACCTCCTGCTGCTCCCCATAAATGTGCCCTCCCCCCCATTGCCCAAATGCTTGCAACCCATCACCTCATTAACATATATTTGGTATGCCCTCATAACATAAGTGTATATGCACTGTTATGGTTGAGAGCCATTTCTGGAAGTTAAGTTGAATCAACTGTTTGGGGCACACTTTCTCTGTTCCCCGTGCTTCCCCCACCCGTACCCCACCCTCTAAACTAAAATTGTCCTCAAACTGTCTGCCACATTTGGAGTATCAAAAGGGAATTTCATTTCAGTGTAAATCTGTCGCGCTTATGTTAAACTACCCTTTCAAAAGTATCTGAGTTTTTCTATTGAAACAAGCGGGGCATGCCCGAGAAACATTGAAGGCGCCTTTTTGAATGGTTTTCAAAGCGCCAGATTTTGAGAAACGGTATTTATAACCTTATTGGGGGGGCTTGTTAGGGATAAACCAAAAATGGACAACAGTACTAGAATGTGTCCCCATTTTGCCCACCTCCAACTCAAACATGTTGTCAAAGCCAGGTTTATCAAAATGCATCATAAACACTGGAAGTTGACAGACCGAGGTGCAAATTAAGACTTAAAATTCTCACTCGAATCTAAATTCTCCCGTTGTTGAATCGAGAAGCCAAAGCCCGGGTGTCTGGCTGTTGTCCGTAATGCGGAACCGGAGTGCCGGGTCTCGCTCCTCTCCTACGGGCGGGCAGGCCCCCAGGATCCCGAACAGGACATGGTCCTCCGAGATCTTGTAGGACTTGCTCACAGCTTGGAGTCCGTCAACTGCTGCAGGAGAATTCAACAGTGAAAGAATGAAGAGGTTGCCGAACCTTCATTTAGAGCAAAAAGTACCAGTAACAACCCCCAAACTTTGATTTGTGAGAAAGGTGTCTGTAATCACTCAGATGCCCAAATGCTGACTATCATTGTCCAGTGCTAGGTATACTTACTCGGATGAAAGTGTAAGATGAGGGTAGACCTAGCCGTAGCTGCTTATTTTATTTCAGCCATGGTAGTCTAGCCTACGCGTTTTCTATGGATTCTAGTTGCGCGTGTTGGGGACGGCAACCATACGAGTACAGTCCATTAATTCAAGCCCCTTTGAAAACAGTGTAAAATCAGCACTGTTCAGGGCCCAATAACATGCACGCCAACATCACTGAGATTTCTGAAACACGAATGAAATTCTTGTCTGGTCACTAATCTTTCAATTTCTTTTCAATTTTTTGTGGGTTAACCAATTACATTTTTAATTATTTCCACAAAACAAAATAACCCCCCCCCAAGTGATTTTTCCGAAGTCTGATTGCAGCCATTTTACAAGTGGCAACCCTCAACTTTCTGGGGCACTTTGGACCATTTTTCAACCGTAGTTTTTAGCCATTCTGCTCTCATATGAAAGCTCAAAGATCAGGGAGTTGATTCTGGCAAGGATTTACAAAATCTCACCATTTTGGGGCCCAAACAATCTCCTTTTTCAAAAGATACTGCGGGGGGCACTTTTAATGCTAATGAGCTGGCTAGAAACCCTCACTTGAATTAGTGGTCTGCACTCTATCCCGACAGACGGCTGGCCAAGAGCGATTCGATCGTTGAAGTCGCATGGATAAGATGGGCACCGCCGTGGCATTTTGATGATCTCGTTGTGGCAATTATTTGATGTGAAATACCATATGATGTTTGGACAATAGCAAGTCTTTTCAGCAAATTGAAAGGATAACAAACGTCACTGCCAGTGTCGTGAATTTCCTGCTGTCTCATTAGGGCCTACTTTCTTGAACACATCAGGGAAAAACGGAGTCCCGAAAGGGGTCTGGACCCCATCATCAATATCTGCCTTTGCTTTGTAAATAGTTGCATTTAATCATGAACCTGCAATACGTTGTAACTGAAAAGTTAACATAAACATCATTTATTGTTTTGTGTTATTGTTTCATCGAATTAATTCACTGGTCGGATGTTATAAACACACAGAAAATGAACAATAAAATAACAAATAATTCCAGATGCAAAGAGACGCAAGAAGTTTACATAAGATCAAACAGAACTTTTTATTTGTCTTAGTTTGAAACCCCTGGGTAAAATTAATTGTCTCAAAAACTGAATAATAAAAACTTACAATGAAATATTGGATAAACGATACCAATCTGACTCGAAAACTAAAACAATGATAACATTGCTGATTATTTTACAACAGTTTTGTAAACCAAGAGGAATTAGAGTTAATTAAAATATGTTAATGATATTTTGTTTGGCTTGTCATCATTGTTTTTCTACACATGCTAGATTGTGTGAAACGGAATCATGAATTAGTCGAAACTTCGTTGAAGTTTCCCTATGATTCAGCAATAAAGCCCATGTGTTCAAACATAACCATGTAAAACACCTTTAAAGCAGACGAGCATGAGCGTAGAGTGTTTTTCAAATCATTCCACAGCCAGCTGCCCTTCGATCCGGTTTGCCCGACGAGTCTTCGCCGTTTATATTCAAATCCCGGTTACTGATTAAACCCATAATGTCAACACTGAGGCGGTCTTTCCCTGCACTACACTACCACCAGAAATGTCAAGCTGTCACCGTGTGTTATTAATGAACCATGCAGTGGGCCTTAGGGGCTATCCATTTAACAACGATTGTAGCAAAATTAAATTATTTGGGGGAAACAATTGAAAGAAATTCACTGCGGGAAAAGACTGCACTTGTGGGCCTATTAAATAACCGACAACGTTGAACTTTATTCGACATTAATTCTGTCATACGGTCTTGCATAAGAGAAACCAATTGTTGGCCTACATTCTGTCTGTATTCGTCATTATGTATCAAAAAATGTATGAACATGTACATGGGAATGTGCTTAGGTTATTAAATAACCGTCCAGCCTATAGCCCCCTCCTTGAAACCCATGATGCAAACTTTTTTAAAGTCAACAGAAATGCAACACTGAAGGAACTACATATTATTACATACGGAGACGTCCGTGGTACCGGTGTTCGGTCAACTTGAACGTTTGAGACTTGCTGACAAGAAAATGTTTACGAAAAGAAAAACTTCAAGTAGCCTTTACTAGCTCCTCTTCAAACTTTACAGTTACCCAAAGTTGTCCACCAGTTATGTAGCCTACCTTAACAGGCCTGCATATGAACTGGCCTGGTGGATTCCTTGAAGTTAAAGCACAATGGATAAACCGACTAGGCCTACAAGAGAACTGACGGTGGTGTAAGTCATTCTTAATAATAACCCCGCCCATCTAGAATCGCTGCCAATAAACGTGACGCATTCAGCGTTTCCACTAATGACTAGACCAGCTGTGATTAATAGTTTCCCACTACCGAGTTTGATTCTCCACAAGTCTGGTTGGTAAGCCTTCAGAATGTGTATACAATTTATTCCACAAAGTAGCGACTGACATGCACTTGTTTATACCAGAATTGTATTGTTGCATGGAGGAAGGAAAATTGTTGAGCCATGCAAGTGACGTGAATCGGGGTGGAACTGGAGGGGGCGATGCACAAAGCTTGCACTCAAGTATAATTCATAGTACTCGACTGGGGCTGCAGAAGTACGCCCGTGGAGGGCCCCATCGGGTAACTGCACTATATGAGGACATTCCTGACCCCGTGGAATGCTTGGAAACCCAAACTCTGTCTTTCCCCCATCCAACTTCAACCCCTTCTCCAACTGAAGAAAAAATAGGATAAAATCCTGCATTTTCTAATCCTTAAATCACTGTTCCAATTTGTTTAGGCTTTTCTGATAAGAAAAGCAAAATCGGAAAACTGTCATTGCCCTAGAAAATTACTTAATTTAGCTCTCCCCTTCCCAGCTTGTCAGAGACTCCGCCTGTCTTTCAGTTGCTACATCCCCGCGCTTAATTGTTACAGCCGTATCCCTGAAACAGAGCTCAGTCTGTAAATTAATTAGGCGAAATAAATGTTCTCGACTTACATTTGCAGACCTCGCCCACTGCCAGAGCGACGCACGCCAGCAGAACGCAGATTCCTTCGGTATTCATTTCGGCAGAAACGAAAAACAGCCCCCTACCTGTACAACAAACCTATTTACTTATGCACTGCCTGCGTTGTGTGTAAGATTCCCAATAAATGCAGCTCTTGCGATCCGAAATCCCACGGAACTAATTCGCACTTCTTGGGCAAAGTCCAGAACATCGTGTCCATGAGCCGACCGACTGCGCGGTGAATTTTTGAATACAATGGCTGATGAATTTCGGGGGTCTTGATCTTTGAATTTACCAGTGGGTAATTGATTGATTGCCAAGCAAAGTGCACGTTGCGAGAGGAATCCTGTCAACAAAGTGACCTGGATTTGTTGTGTTCTTTTTCTTATTTTTCCATTTTTTTTTTCATTTTTTGGCAAGAAAACCAATGACGTTGTTGCGAGAGTTTGTCTGAAATAGATGAAGTGAGTATATGATGGCTTACTAGGCCTACATGTAGCTTGCTTGATTTCCTCACTTGTACAGCGAAAGCATTAGCCCATGAGAATTGCTTTGATCCAAACTTTAAACCAACAAGAACAGATTGTGAATGCGATGTGCGTTCTGTTATTTTCAACATGAAATCTTTTCCATGAAAAGGTGTATAGGCCTACAGTAAAATTAAAGTTGATTCAACGGTTGAGCTTGTTTTCCACAATTATCTAAAAACAAGCGAAAAAGTATGGACAAATTGCACCGGCTTGGACTACAGAGCACAGCCCTAGATGAAATGTTTCCCGAGATGCTTTTCCAAAATAGGTCTTTATCCTTCCTCAACCACGGTTGAGTTCTAGATTCCGTTCAGTTGTTGAAAAGACACGTAGTTTTGTAATTAATTGCATTCAAATCTAAAATCCATTAAAAATAATCATAATAATTCATTATTATATTAATGATAACATTCTAAACGACTGTGCTTCGAAGCATGTGGACCATACTTCTGTGCTCCCCCCGTAAAAAAAACATTAAAATTAATAGGAACTAAAAACAACATCTATTTAGAATTTGCCCATGCAGATTTAACGATTTTCTGATTTTCTTCCAAATGTGAGACCCTGTTTTTAAAGTGGTTCACGTCAAAATGTTAAACATGCGCATTATAGTTAGGCCCCTATGAAAATATATTTAGAAAGTCGATGTATATCATGACCCAAGACTTATACAGTCAAATGAACTCGTTGAAGTAATGCAGCGGTGTTTCAGTATACCATTTGCCGAAGTAATTATTTGGGTCACATTCGTCACAATTCGGCAATCTACGTCAGTGACCCCTCTCCATGCATTGGTCACCTCAAGTTCCGCTGATTCGGAGATGCGGGTTCGAAATATAGGTGCTATATACTTTTGCTTACTCTTGGGTGAGGGTGTGCAAATTAGCTAATCTTAATACAATAATTAATGATGTAGACAAATCTGTACAGAGAAGTATAAAGTAATTCAGGAGTTGAGTGCTCCGCCAGTTGGGCGTGGCTGGGAAGAATTTGGGGCAGCTGCATTTCATTAATTTGCGGAACATCACTCGCACCCACTTTGCAATTTTAATGCAGTAAAAAGACAAACAATAAAGGCTTAATCAATGCACTCGACAGCGTGGACAGGGCCGGGAAGACTGGGAGAAATCCTCCCCCCCCCCCTTGAAAATATTGCTTTTTTTCTTCTCTTCTCTTAAAGAAATCTATATTGATTCATTATCAGGATTGATTATTTGTTATTCATTATTGTGATTGATTCGTTGTAATATGGAGAAGTGGAGAAATATTGTACTTTAGACGATGGTTATTTAAACGGCTCTGGCCAAAAGCGTTGACGCTGATAGCCGGGTCAAAACGTAGGCTAATAGCGATGATAATAATTCTATATATCTGATGATATCAGGCCCTAACTTTTTTCCTGGATAGCCCACCGGGCTAGTAAACTGGGTATTTTACTAGCCCGTTTGGAGCTTTACTAGCCCGTATGCAAAAAAGGAAACCCCAGAATTGTTGTTAGCTTTACTACCAATGAAGAAAAAACTGCCGATGGGAAAAATAAGTGGCACGATTTGCTGTATGTCACATGCACTTGGAGTTAAAGGTTTTGCAATCGTGCATTTATTATCACCAAAAGCAATACGTGTGTTTTGATCTAAATTTTAATACTACAGGTAAGTTCTATATTGATTTTTTTCACTAGCCCACCGGGCAACCAAGGACCCAAGTCTAGATAGCCCGGAGCATTTTTCGCTAGAATTTGTACGCCGGGCTAGTACTATTTCGAGGCCTGGACATAATTTTATGTGTCTTGGTGTACCTTCCCGTGGAGGCCGGGAGGGCAGATATGCTGCCCTTTTAAAGAAATTGTAAGGGCCAACGCTTTATTAGAAACGACACTACCTTTTGCGGAGTGGGGAGTCTTTCATAGATGAAAAAGTAGGACCGTGTGGGGACTTTGCACCTCATAGCTCTTGATGGACTCTTTCATCTCATCTGTGATTTATAGTATAGTGGCATAATTTATAGGGACTCCCTCGGCTTCCTTGTTCCTGTTAATTTCGGGACTATTGGAGGTGCATGTTCGTTGACACTTTGACGCTTTGACACTACGACACCCATCCGTCTCTTTCTGTGGGGAGAGATGGCTGGTCGCCTCGGGAAGTGTTCTTGTGTAGGTTACACAGTTCCGTATACACAAAAAATATTCCCGCCACAAAAAGGCCTGTTCTTGTCATCTTTTCGCAGTCAAGGGATTTTAAAAGAATAGACTTGCCGTCATTAAACTTTAAAGAAAAAAATCGCAACTCGCAAGTCCTCAAGTCAAGAGAAATTGCCTTCGAAGTTGTACGAGTAGGCCTTTAATATCCGAAGTGCGTTTTATTCGGTAGTTGCAACTTGGTTGCAGACCAGTGAACACGTTCACTTGATAAAAAAAAATGTACAGAACTGCAAGGTGCTTGAGAGCCGTCAAGCAGAAGTTTGTCATCTTCTCATTTTTTTTTCTAAACCAACCACCTCTGGGCCCAGAGTCTTCATCCAACGATAATGTTTTAAAACAGTCCTGAAGAGTGACACATTTTGTTTCAAATTTCACAGCCTGCAAGCTGAACCTTGTAATTGATAACAGGATGTCAGGATGACCAGATTCGCAAAGCGTGGGGATCTTGAGGCCTTCTAGGCCCATTAATTCTAAGATGAAACTCACACGGTGTACGGGTTCATTTTTCTTCCATAAAGGGCTGAAGTACCATCAGATGCCGGGGAAATGAAGTGCGCCACTCACTGTACTTGTTTGAAATACTATCTTGATGAGGGCACGTTGTATTTGGGATTCATGAATTCCACACTCATTTTTTATCATGTTCGACGCAAATTAACCGAATTTCCAAAACACGAAATTACCAGACGGTTAACGCACTCGTCGGGGGGGGGGGCGTCGTCTGGTTCCTTTCTTGATAATAGAATCTTCTTATGGAAATTTGTAAAGCGACCATACTATGAAACATATCACATGGGGGCGCCAAACACACCCTTATTACTCACACAGAAAACTCATCCAATCCGACCCAGTTTGAGGTGTGGGATGTGTCAAAGAAAAACGTTGCTACTCCCTGTCCGATATTTTCTCCATTTACAACTCTTCCACCATCCCACGCACGGAAATTAACGGTTCGTAACCCAGGTTTGTAGTCAGTACAGTTTTTGGCCAATTGTAACAAACGTTCACATGGCTTATTTCTCGACTTGCTCTTTATTAATTGTACAACCTGCAGAAAAGTGTAATCCTTTATTGAAATGAAAGCGTAGCATAGGCCTAATACTAAGCATGGTTAAAGTAACATGGTTAACTTAACATTGACATGGTTGACATACAGGAGCGCGATTGGTCGAGCAGGATTTGAAATGGTATTGGTCTAACTGCATGAAGCCCTCAACTTAATTTCCTTTTTTTTAATACTCTTCCACAACCGTGAACAGGTTAATAAGACAGAAAAAAGCAATTGTCTGAAGATGAATTTAGCGACAAATTGCACAGCAAAGTCTGACATGAAAGACCAAAGTTGATACAGTTGTCGTGGTTGTACAGACAAGACAGAGATCAATTGATGGTGCGAATCAACTGATTGTGCGCGATAGTTTTGCTGGCCTAATTTATATCAGCACTGCAATCCGCCATTGCTTGTGCCCGTTAATGCATTTAAGTACGGCATGGTGAGGGAAGTTAGTGCTTTAGTTTAGTGCCCCTTGAAAAACATGAGAGGTTAGAAGAAATTGTTATGTACATGTATGTAGGGATGTGAAAAAAGATGGAAATTATTATTAAAAATCTACTTAAGTTTGGTACCATTGTAAAGAGCATAAAAAGAGTTTTAATATGATGTATAATTTAATTGTCTAAGTCAGATATCAAGTGTGATACATTTGTTTAAAAATAGGATTCGGGAATAAAATTTTGGCCTATAAAAATAAAGAAAATATAAGAAAATCTGTGACCATTTGTCAGCCAAAATCAGCAAACAGAACTTTTTGAGCTTTTTTAATTGTTACGATTCTCGTGGTAGCATGTGTCAAATGCTGTGTTTGATCAACAGCTGGTGCAGATGCATTGGATGAGCACTTTTTGTGGATCACAGTTCAAAGTGTGCGAGTCTTCAAATTTCACAGTATTAGAGAAAAATACATAACTAAATGTTCCATGTGTTTTTAAGAGCATTTGACCTTCAGTTCGGGTGAAAATATGCTGATTTGTTGACTGATTTCTTTCACACAAAAAGTCCACTTGGCTACTTTGCGCAAAAAAACACGACCACACGATATTGAATGGTAGATTTTCCTGTGCCACCTATGGAAGCATGCATTTCAATGTGTACATGCACCTGTTCTTTGATTTAGTCCAAATGACAATTTTTGTTTAGTATCCTAGTTTACATATGAAACATATCCTGAATGAGGAATGCCATCGAAACTACGAATCGAAAGTTGTTAACTACTTAACCAGGCAGTTGAAGCCTAAACTAAAACAGTTTAAGTGAATGCATGTTTCCTATTTTTGTCAAGCCAAGTGCCTTCAGAGTACACATGTACATGTACATGAACATGTACATACAGATGCAGCTTGTTGGTGTGTACTGCATGTACTACTGGTATTAATTCTTTGTTTATTTTCAAATTGTTTTTTTCTTGTAAGTAAAGCCGATTATAAAGTGTACGTACACATATACAGTACCCATGTACATATACTCTTTTGTAAATAAATTATTTGGGATATTGTGTCGATTGCCACTTTAACATGTTCATTTGCTGTAGTTGTCAGTACACCCAATGATAAACACTACAGGTACACATGTATAGGGCTGTGCCGAATAACCGAATTTTTGATAGATTGCCAAATATTCAAATATTATTTTTCGAATTGCAAAATTCGAATAGTCCAATGCAAAATTCATAAAAAGGAAGGGAACATTTTCTTTTGTTTTAAATGAGAAAAATTGCTCTCTGGAGGCTTGTTTCGTGCATATTCAAATGAAAAGTGACAGAAATCTTACAATGATTTAAAAAGTAAATTATTCGTTAAACAATTTAAAAGGAATAGACATTTTGAACAGGGCAAGAAGTCTTGTTCATATGTTAAATCTAGCTAAATCGTGGCTGGAGATATTCCTAGAACTATTGTATTGATCATAATGTGCAAATGTGTGTGTTATTGCAACTGATTTTGCATATTTTTTATTCAACAACAATCTGCCGGTCGGTACTACTGAATATTCAGGTATTCAATCAAATTGAAGGTTGAATGTTTGAATACTGAATCATTCACATTGACACAGCCCTACACATGTACAATGTATATGGTACATGTACATGTATTTAAAGGGTAACTCAAAGGAAAACATGTTTTCTCTGATTTTATCCGTTCAAATAAATATGGAAGCATCCAAATCGAATGCAGTGTCAGTTGACTTCAGAACTCAACTATAACAAGCTAAAAAGGGCTTTTTTTTCTGTTCATGCCAAGATGCGAATTCTGAACACGCATTAATGTAGATTACGTCATTCTGAGAAAACAGAGAAAATGAGGGGAACCCTCGCCCTGTGTCCATAGTGGTTAAACCCTTGTGCATGTCAAACAGCGCATGTAGCCATTGTTAGTAGCCATTATTTGACATTCACAAGGGTTTATCCACTACGAACACAGGATGAGGGTTTCCGTCGGTTTCTCTGTTTTGTCAGAATGACGCAATTTACATTCAGCATGTTCAGAATTCGCATCTTGGCATGAACAGAAAAAAGGCCCTTTTTAGCTTGTTGTAGTTGAGCTCTGAAGTCAACTGACACTGCATTCGATTTGGATGCTTCCATATTTATTTGAACGGATAAAATCAGAGAAAACATGTTTTCCTTTGAGTTACTCTTTGATGAAAATACCAGCACAACCTTCTTTAAAAGCAGTGGGGGTAAAATGTACATTTTGAGTTAAAATCTGATATCAACCAAGGGCGACATTTCTTCAAACTTTGGCCAGCCGTATGAATAGTAATGTGAGAGCAGTCTATTGAGAGAGCATGTAGTGGTATGTGTACATTTGTGCTTGTATTATAAAGCTTTGCGTGCCATATACTGTACATGTGCATGTACATGTACATGCACAGCGTACTTGTGCATAATAGCCTAGGGTAATCACTAACAGTACATTGTTATTTCTTCCTTCTCTCAAGACATTTCCTCTGGGTTTCCCCCAGATCACCTTCCCTTTGTGCAGAGCAACTTTTTTACTTCCTGATTCTTTTTGTTTTTTGCTTGCTGTTTACATGTATGACTCCAGGCACGTGATGAACACTGGGAATATCCATCATTGAGAAGTCAGCCGAAAACGTCGGCCACATCATTGCTTCCACTTCCTCTTGTGTTGGAATTAACCCACAGAGAAGCAACGTTCACTGGTAGAGCAGATTCAATTTTCCATTCTCTCAGGCTCAGAGAGCTCAGACACCAGTGTTGGGACTTACCGTACACTGTTGATGCACTCACCTTTGTACCGTACCTGCTACACGTAATGAGGCTGAGCAGTGGTTGTTAGATGAGGCGGACATTTTACTCTCTGTGTGTGCAGAGCCATGGCGAACGTTCTGAGGAGTTTATGGGGCAGGCTGATTCTGGGCTCTGGATTCTGTCTAGGTGAGTACAGTACCTCGTGCTTTGCCAAGCCCAATGTTAACAACACCTTAAGGACATGTGTGAAGATAAGTCATGTAGCAGTGTACATGTAGCTGTGTGCATGTACATGTATGTCTTAACCCCTTCTCGGTGGGAATTTCTTTCCGAAAGCTGACTCCAAGAATTCCAGCCTCGCTTGGCCACGAAGGCCACCTACCAAACCGCAAATTCTCGGTTTGTGGCCCAGCGTGCTCTGCACGCTTTGAGTTACACGGTGAAAAGGCTGATTGTTCGGTGGCATGCAGCTCTACTCAAGCTTCCACATTCCCGTTGCCTCTTTCAAAGTGGGGACTATTGTAAAGCTGGTGATTATGATGCAAAATCGGTCTTTTCATTTCTGGGCTACACACAAAGACCAATTATCATATACACAAGAGCTAGGGTCTGCTTTCTTTCACCGTGTTCGCTCGAACGTGGGCCGAGAATAACAGCTGAAAAGCGGGCTGAGGATCTCAATTTTTACGGCGGCTATAGCCACCCCCCCCAGTGCGAAGGGGTTAAATAATGGATTAGTCTGTTGCATTAGAAAGATAATTCATGTTCTTGCATGTATTTCACAGGCACATGTACATGTACATGTCCTCTTAGAGACCATTTTGTGGTCATTTTTTTACGAGCGTACAAAGAAACCTATTGCCTTCTGGGTTCCCTTCTCCCTCCCAGAGTATGCAGACTGAAAAGGGCAAAACGATGATCTCTGTTAGCATTTTTCCCCGTATATTTAATATTTTTGAAAAGCATATTCATAAGTATGTAAATGGCAGCCACCCTCCAGCTTAATGGTGTGTACAATGCACTTGTGAAAATGTCGACATAAAGTGGATGGCCTGCAAGTGCAGACTAAGTATCCATAAAGTTACGGAGTGCACGTGCAGAGGCAATATATCGTACACTACATGTATCATTTTCTGTGCCATTCATGGCTGTCATCTGAAATCAGAGGTAGGGAACTACCAGCACATGTACCAGGGTACATGTACATGTACATGTACATTTTTTTGTACATGTACATGTACATGTATCTGTATGTTTGTACATGTATACATGTCCGTGTATGGGTTTATGTGTTTCGAGGATTAAAACGTTAAAAACTGTCCGCTCCTCAAAATGAGTGAGACTGAACTCTTCAAACCTAGTGTTTTGCACGGAAGTACTAGTACATATACATTTTTTTTCCTCAAGATGATTTATGATAGTGAAATAAGTTGGGGTTTGCACATTTTGTACTTGTAAGCAAAAACAGCCCGTCCTTAAAGTTCATGTCTGTCCTCCAGACAAGTGGAGAGACAGGCTACAATTACAGATGAGATGCTGCATTTTGTCCGTTTTGTCCCGTTAATGCAATTTTTCAGTGAGGGCCTTTAAAAACTGATATGACAGTGTAATGATTCCTGTGTTTGATGGAATATGTGATAACCCAGCAACCTTTTAGCTGATGTGCAGCACCTGCAACTCCAGGATGGTATCTCTCAAGCAACTTCAGAACAATTGTGAAATTCTTCTGCTATCAAGTGTCAGCACTTGATAGCACAGTAAGGAGTGACGTGAGTAAAATAGGGACAAGAAGGGATGCGGAGAAGCATCTGTCAGTCCTGGTTGGGGTTCATGGTCACTCCTACATGTACATACTGACATACCGGTACATGTACATGTATTTACATGTATGTGTACCACATGATGTCTATCTGTAGAGCATTTAACATTCATGAACGAGTTTATTCTTTTACTGTAAATTGAACAACATTAAGATTTAAGTAGTGTTAGTCCTTCATTATTCAAGTTCAGTTTCAGTGTTCAAGTTCAGTTTAAGTTCAGTTTCAGTGTTCAAGTTCAGTTTCAGTTCAGTTTCAGTTCAAGTTCAGTTTCAGTTCAAGTTCAGTTTCAGTTTAAGTTCAGTTTCAGTTCAAGTTCAGTTTCAGTTCAAGTTCAGTTTAAGTTCAGTTTAAGTTCAGTTTAAGTTCAGTTTAAGTTCAGTTTCAGTATTCAAGTTCAGTTTCAGTATTCAGGTTCAGTTTCAATATTCAAGTTCAGTTTCAATATTCAAGTTCAGTTTCAATTTTTCCTTACTCAGAATGATGAAACTACATGTACATTGTACATGTACATGCACTCAAGCACAGTACATGCAATATCATACAGTATCTGTATGTATGGGTGCAAGTATAGAGGTGACAAAAGGAACTGATTGGCGTGACCATGGTGTGACCTAAATTGACCTCTGTATGGGATACATGTTGTGTCGAAGTGGACATGTCTTGAATGATCAAATGGAATTCCTGTCTGTTTAAATTCTAGTCATTTTGTACACTGCACTTACAACATAAATGTACGTAACGGTAGGCCTACATGTACATGTATGGTACATGTGCGCATTTACATGTACATGTACCATACGCACATTGTACATGTATTGCAAACATTTGTCATCATTGGTACCGGTGCATACATGTACCGGTAGGCCTACATCTACAATGTATGTTACATGTACATGTACACATTACATGTACATACATTTTATCATACAAGTTCATGTGCCATTACATGTACATGTACGTGGAAATGACGGTACCTTCAGGCTACATTTTTGTACGTGTTATGTAGTATTTTGATCCTGTTGAATTAATTTTCTGTCTATTCCATGCATTCTTACAATCAGGATGTACATGTACATGTACATTGTACTATAAGAAAAATATGATATTTGGAAGTACATGTACATGTACATTTATCGTAGAACTTTGAAAAGGTCGAGGGCAGCATACATGTACATGTACCAGTACACTGCATGTGGTTTTTCTATTTTTCAGACTCTTTAAAGCCCGTTCAATTGATATTGTAAATCGTGTACAGTACAAGTACACGTACATGTACGTTAACCCTTCGAGCTGAATCCTCTAATTTTAGCTGGCTGTTCCCATCCTAGTAGGAGGATAACACAGATATCAGGATCTTTTTAGAGGTCAGTGACCGGTACACTTTACAGTTAATGTATGTATATGGTATATGGACATGTACAGTAGGCCTACATGTACACCTACGTGTATCTGTACAGTAGATAACAGAGAAGGCAAATTTATTTGCAGAGCCAGGTTTTGGCATTTGATTTTGTGAACCTGTAATCAGGATTGAAGACCTGGCTTGCCTTGTACAAAGCTGGATGTTCTAGTTTTAAATTAAAATACAATGCCATGCCAATGCCATGTACCGGAATATGTATGTATCCACGTACATGTTATGTACGGTATGTACGTGTACTAAGCATGTATTGTATGTAATGTATGTGGTGTATTTGTACACAAAAGCAATTTTGTTTACGTACTGTAAATACAGGTGATCTACCCTAGCCTACATGTACATGTGAGCTATCATTCTTCATTCTTTATGCTATTGATCAGATAATCTTGTCCCAAGGTGATATGGATGAGGGTGATTGTAATGTATAGTCGCTCAGTGGACTGACTAAAGTACTGTAGATCAAACAACATCAGTGATTCCTGCTTATCATTCACACATGTACCCATACATGTACTCAGTTCCAAGGAAATCATACAAGCCTGTTGTTCGAAACAGTAACAATCCTTGTGCATGTCTGCCTTGCAAGGTTCAAGGTTGGGTTAAAGAAAGACATTTTGGCCCTGAAGAACTCCACTCTGCAACTGTATGTACTTGTATGTACCTACATGTACATGTACCTGTAGATTCCCTCATGCACTAAGTTGGTACTGATGTACATGTATGTACATGTTTTTCAGTGTACATGATTTAAACTGAGGGACAGCTACAGTACTTACATGTTATGAATGCTTTTAAAGGTCTACAGTTCATGGACACATGGGGGTATCACATTAATTAAACAGTGCACCAATATCCGGACTTCATGTGGACTTCAGTGATTTCAAGGAATATTCTCAAGTTCATGTTGAGTGCTTCATGCATGCCTACGGCATACAGTAATGATGTGATAAAACTAAGTGGGAAAGGATCAGTATGGCATGGAAATGTACATGTACATGTACCGGTAGATCTTGTCATAAGACATGCATGATTTTGGCATAAGATTTTGCATTGACAGGTGCAGTACTTGATTAACCAATTACGGAGTCTGCAGTGTGTTTGTTACACCATGGTTACACATGAGTTGTTGCCGTCGCAACACTGTGATGTGATGGATCCTGTTCTGAGAAAGATCATGAACACATGGACATACATGTACAATGTAATTGGTACAGTACATAGGAAAATGAAGTTTATGCATACGATAAACATTTCATGCATGCAAGCACAACATTTAGTATGTACTGGTACATGCATGTACCATGCTTGAGCAGTCTGGTGATGAAATTAAATCAGTGAACAACTTGGAATCGTGGCGAGGGGAAGGAGGGCATGTACATGTACATGTACAAAAATGCTTACACAGGTACAGTATTGCATTACACATGTACATGTCTGGGTCTCTCTTTCATTCCCATGTGAATGTCATCACATGTCATCACATGTACATTCCCTGAGAGGTCACTCCCTGTTTAAGTCCCAACTGACTTGTACACTTGTTCATGCATGCCCATGTGCCATGCAACAAGCAATTGGTTGTGATTTGTACACATCACCTTGCCCTTGGGAGTTTGGGTGTACAGTTGTTAAAGTCAGATACACCACTGTGGATGTACATTTATTTATTTAGGATGTTTATTTCAGCTGTTTATTTGTTTAGTTTTGTTTGTTTGTGCACTTGAGGGGGTGGGTGTCTGTGTTTTTCTAAATACCAGTGTGGTATCAGTTAAATTTAGAATCCTCTGTGTTTTGAAGAGACTCCTGGTGGCTGGATAGAGTTATGGAAGGTGTCACAAAGCTGTCAAAGTAGTGTACATGTACATGGGTCTGTCCTCACTAAAGACACATTTGCACGTAACCAAAATCAACTCTTTCTTAACAGTGTTGAGAGTCAAGAAATAGATGAA